TTTCGTACATTTTTGCACAAGTATATATTTATTTTTTGGTACCGGGAATCGAACTCGGGACCTTGTGCTTACGAGGCAGGCGGCGGAAACACTGAGCTAAATCCCCAGGCCTGCACAAGTATATGTTGACTTTTAAAAAAATGGTCTTGAAAATCAAACCCAGGGGCCTCACACTTGCTAGGCAAGTGCTCTACCACTGAGCCACAACCCCTACCCTAACCAATCAATAAATAAACTTTGAAATAGCTTCAAATAAAGCTCAAAACAAGGTTAACTCTTCATAGTATATTATGCAGGATTAAAAATTCAGATCTTCACATGGAAAGGGCAGGTAACAACTAATGAAGCAGGCAGGGCGGAGTTCCAATTTCTGACCTAGTTCTACGATATGAGAAAGGAAAAGGAAACCTTGGGCTAGGTAGCCCTGAAGTGTAGCAGCATTTAAGGGAGCATGTCTCCCCCTGGTGGCAATGATGGTGGCAAAATGAGTTTTAAACCACACACAGTAGTGGAGAGCACTCAACTGGGCAGGACCCTTCAGCAAGAAGGTATTTCAGAATCTACTCTTCTTCACAGGGACCTTAGCCTAATCAAGAATGTGAGAACAAACATTAAAAGAACTCCCAACACTAAGAAACTGTTATGAAAGATGCTGATTTACAAACCCTGGTAAACCAACAAAGAAAGAAAGAAAACAATTATAGCACTACGGCTATTTAAAAATATTATTCATTTTCGTGAACAGCTTATTCTACTCACATATAGTTATATAAAGTCATATAGTAAAATAATCATAAAATTATGCCTTCCAGAAAACAGGTCGGCTTCAGTTGGTGCCACTGCCAAACTTGTGTTTTTTTGATTTTCAGTTTTATTGAGACAGGGTCTCACTATGCAGTCCAGGCTGGCCTTGAACTTGCTATGCTCTATGTAACCCAGGCTGGCACTCTTCTGCCTCAGCCTCCCCAGTGCTGGAATCCCAGCCAAACTTGTTTTTGAAATTCAAACTGTTTTTGTTTCGTTTTGTTTGTTTTACGGCAAGGTCTAGCTATGTAGTTCAGGGTGAATTTAAACTCACTATGTAGCCCAGGCTGGCCTCCACCTCACAGCAATCCTCCTGCCTCTGCCTCCCATGCTGGGATTACAGGCATGCACCACCATGTCTGGCCTGAAATTCAAACTGTTGATACAACATGGCTGTCTGCTTATATGCAGGTAAAATCAAGGAAGTCTGATTTATTTGCCCTTTTGGAGACCACGGTAAGTTTTCCCCTCATGCTTTTGCTTATTCTTTTCTGTCTGTATGTATCTTAACCCCACTCACTTTTATTGCTGTAAATCCAACTTTTATTTGTCCTTAAAATTTTGTCTGCTGGCCTCTTCCTTCTCTAACAAACAAAAATCAAGCTGCATGGTTTTTTTTCTCCCTTGATTTTGTTGTTTAGAATCTTCTGGCACTTATCACATCTTCTCTTATACTGCTTATTACAGCACATGTTCTTTCCCATGTCAGATTTTAAGCTATCCGAAGGCAAAGACTGATTTAGCCAACCTCAAAATGAGGCAATATGACTTTGCAGCTAAGAGCTCCAGCTTAGTAGCTGTCATCTTGGGCACAACCTTCAGTTCCCTTACAGACTGGGAACAACAGCACCTACACCACAAATCTGTTGAGCCCTCATAAAGAGAATGTATGTAAAGCTGCCAGTCTTTATCGTTTGATAATGGTTAACTATTGCTTTTATTCCTTCTATCCCCAAAGCAACAGCCTTACATGCTACAAGCATTCAACTATTATTTGTTGGTAGAGCTTATGCTAATAAGTACACTCCCCATATACAGAAATACATTAGCATTAATCTGTGTCTGAAGGACTAACCTATGATCTACTGGCACTTTCAAATGCTTTATTAACATAGGACAATTCCTCCTCATCTAGATCAGTGCTGTCCAATTTAACTTTCTGCAATGCAGAAAATATGCTATAACCTTCACTGTCCAATACAGTAGCCATTAGCCATATGTAGCTATTGAGCACTTAAAACTCCCCCACAGCAACTAAAATGGAATTTTCTCATCTTGTTTAATTTTGGTTAAATAGCTCCTCCTGGTGACTACTGTATTGGAGAGCACACTCCAGAACTTGTCTCTATCACCCCTTTACTGAGGATTGAACCCAAGGCCTTCACTCTGAGCTACAACCCCAGCCCTTTTAAATTTTTTGAGCCTACATCTCCCTAAACTGCCTAGGCTGGTCTTGAATTTGTGGTCCTCCTGCCTCAGCCTCCCAGACTGCTGGGATTACAGGCCAGTACCTCTGTGACCCCCGTCAGCAATCTTTTAAATTTACCCATGTCCTCTTTCTCTAAAGAGTAACCCTCACTAATCAAACGCATCTTCTGATCTTGACCCCCTTTTTTCTTTAGTTGTTACACTATTGTTCACTGTGAAACTTAAAAGCCTGGCACGAGAAACAGAATCCCTATCAACCTGTCTCTGGCAGAGAGATGGGTGGAGAGTCCCTGCAGTCCCGGGCCTGACTCTTCCGACGACGACGACGACACACAAGGTTGTGGAAGAATCAGATAGAGATGGAAAGCACAGAAGCAAAGTTGTACTTTTATTCAGCAAGCATGCAAGAGCACAGCTTCCTTCTCTCAGTGAGACAGGCAGGGGTGGCCGAAACGGAGCCACACTTGAAGGGGGGACTCAAGGGGTTCATTTATAGTGGCCGAGGGCCCACCCTGTCCCTGGGCTGAGGGCTCCCCTACTTGATTGGCTAATTAGTTGATATGGCTCTTTACTAGGGAAGGGTCCTGGGGGGCTTTCACACCTTAGGGTCAAATTTCCTTTTTTCCGTTTTGATCTTAGCAAACACAGCTTTGCAGGGTACAGCGTAAAGAGAAAGTGTGACCACAAGGCTGTCAGCTTTTCACAGGTAGTTAAGCCTGTTCTGCCACCTAAACCTCCTTCCGGGTTGGGGGCAGCCCTCATCCTTCCCGGCCTAAGGGCCTCTAGCCCTACAAACCCAACACCTAGGGAGCGTGGCACCAAAGGAGTCAAACAGCAAGTAACATGAAGTCGTCCAAGTAAAAGAGTCATTGGGTCCGGGCCTCGGCAGCTTAATCGCGAGGGCTGACGCGAGGGCAAACAGACCAGGAGGCAGGCGTGACAAACACGTGAGTGGATTGGCCCTCCCCTCGCGTGGACCGTCTCCCACGCCGGGCACTGCCTGTTCCGGTCCCCACCCAAAAACCGTCCTGGAGCCACACACCCCAAGGCGGCCTCCCCTAGCCGCCCTAAAGCAATCACGCTTCTGTCTTGTGGGCTGTAAAAAACCCGCCCAGCCCGGCCTTTCGAAACGCCGCCTCTAGACCTTCCCCACCAGGCCCACTACTCAAAGTCCCCTAAAAAATGGCCGTCGGGCCTCAGGAAGTAACCACAGAGAGCCCGCCTTCCGCGGAGAGAGCGCCGTCCTCTGGCACGGTCCCCGCTGCGCGCGGCCTCGCCTTCCGGCGGGGGCGGGGAAAGAGGCTGACTCTAAGGGTCCCTCTAGGAGAACAGCGCGCAGTCTCCGAGGTGTCCGGTCGTCGGAGCCGGGTCACGTGGCTGGTGAAAGCCGATGCGGAGGCGGGGGGAGGAGAAATGGGCTGGAGGCCAGGGGGATAACTGGAGACCCGGAGAGCACCCGGTTGTCATGGAGCCGTGGGGCCGGACTCGCGCATGCGCCCCCCGACCTGCGGGGCTGCTCTTGGAGCCGCGACCCCGGCCCTAGGTGAGAAAGGGAGGGCTCAGCTCGCTGGGAAGGGAGCGGGGTTGGCGCAACCCGGGAGTGTTTGGGCTTGGGCAAGGGCGCCGGAGAAACAGGTGGAGTAGAGGACAGAGTAAGGGGGGGAAAGGTAAGCAAGAGGGGGACGGGACTTTCGGGGGACGGAGGCCAAATGGTGAGAGTTAAGGGACATACCGCCCTCTGCGCCGTCTACTTGGTTCTCCGCGAGGGGCAGCTCCGCGTGGGAAAGGGGATCGCGGGCTAGGAGTGATCGGTCGCGAGTGGCGAGGGGCTTGTGGGAGCCCGCGGGGTGAGCCCTAGGGCAGGTGGGTCCCGGTCTTTTGCTGGGGGCTACTCAGTGCCGGTGTCAGCGGGGACAGAGCTGGAGGCGAGGCCCGGGAGGAGGCAGGTGTGTGGGCGGCGAGAGTGCTGCCAGCGTGAGGATCCGGGACCTTCAGTTACCTGCCTTCTGGCCCTGGGTACAGGTGTGCTGTCTTTTCCAGAGACTTGCCACCCCCTACTACTTGGCTGGTTGTTTCTCCAGGGTGGCCAGCTTGCCAAGTACCAAGGGTAGGGATGTGGGGAAAATGGTGGGTAATGCTAAGCAAGGGAGTTAGTGTTTGGTGGGTGATTGGGGGTAATTCTGATTGGACCCCTGGGCGCAGGCCAGAGCCAGGCTCTTTGGTATTGCCCAAGTTCTGGCAGTGCCCATTGCCTGGGCGTTTGCCCTGGAAGGTTGGTGGTAAGCCAGTCACTGCACAGTCCTAGGGTCTGCCCAGTTCTGCCCTGCTGAGCTGGCAGGCTGGTGGATGCCTGGAGGGAGCACATGCTGTTTGGCACAGCTGCAGTGTGGGCTGGTGCAAATAGATAGGTGGGTGCTGTTACTGTGATCTCTCTGCAGCCGGGAGAGTTCTCCAGTCCCTTTGAGGAAGATGAGAGAGCTATACTTGGTTTCAAACACAGGAAATTATGTGGAATCAGGATTCAGGATCTTTCTTTCTTTCTTTTATTTTTTGGTACTGGGGATCGAACTCAGGACCTTGTGCTTGCCAGCCAGGTGCACCACAGAGCTAAATCCCCAACCCAGGATTCAGGATCTTTGACAGGAATTTTCAGCCAAGTTTGACGATGAGAATGAATGTGAAGGGGAAGATGAATATTAGAGATTTAGATAGAGTTTTTTCCACTATTAAAATATAAAGATATTCCCCTAGAATGCTATCTCTGAATACACAGACCAAAAGAAAATGACTTCAGAGAAAATCCAATAACATTTATGAATCTGGGATTACTTATGGTTTTGTGGTTGGTAAATTTACTATTATTATTATTATTATTATTATTGGTACCAGGGATCGGACTTGGTCCTTGTGCTTTCGAGGCAGGTGGCAGAACCACTGAGCTAACCTGGCCCGGTAAATTTATTATTTCCTGTTGCCTTATCAATTTGTTTAAACCTCTGCTTGGGCTTTCACCTCTCTGTTCATGCATGTTATACACGAGACGCATTTTAAAGGGAGCGTGAGCTTTCAGGAATGTTGCCAAGCATCTATAAAAGGAGAGAGCTGAAAGCTGCATTTCAAATCCTTTCCCTGTAACACTTGGGTGTTCTTTTGCTCAGAAGCTCAAATCTTCAGTGACATTTTGGATCACACCAACCTTCAGTATGGTTGGTGGATTTTCCCCATTTGGTTTTTAAGGGGTAGATTAAATGTCTGTTTCTAGCATTAGACCAGACTTGGAAGCTGGATCTGGAGTTGACCATGGTGTTTGGAAATACAGAATCTTTACCTTCAAGATGTTCAAGGTATTTTGGTGACAGCTAAGCCATGCTATGGCTATCACAGACTTAGCAGGACAGAAATTTGTTGGAATGTATTCTCTTGACTAACTCCCATGTTCATTGTTGGGAGCCGAGGTTGCAAAGATTAAAATGAAGATAGAAATAATTAGACTCTAATATAAGAAGTGCAAAAATAGACGTGCTGTGGAGCACTTGCTAGAATTCTATATCAATTTATATAGACCTATGTAGTTATTATTTCCATTATTAGTTTTACTGTGTACTATCCTCTCTGGGAACTTCGGACAGTGTATAACATATACAGCCATATGAGGCCCAATTAGGATCAATTCTGAAAGTTTGGGAGTTTAGTCTTTCTAATGCAGAGTAAGGTACCTGGGATCAGAGATGTTCTTAGAGCAGTGTTGGTAGCTTCCAGGCTGTGCTGGAAGCCAAAAGATGAGAAAGTGGGTGAGAGTCTACACACGTACCTATCTTCAACTCCTTTTCTGCTTATGATGTTTAACTGTATTGTCAAGTGCCAAGGAAGAAAAATATCCAGCAGTTTCTTGAGGTTTTCAGCCTTCGTCATTTGCGTGACCCTAGGTTTGAGAAGTGCTCGTAGTAGCTGCTGGCTCTGCTTCTCCATCCCTTACACTGGGATCTGTTGTTAATGGCTAATTGACCCAGCAGCCTACTCTCTCAGAGAAAAGAGGTGGGGAGGGAATGCAGCTCTTCATGTTCCCTCCCACACAAGCCTTCAGTCAGGGAAGCTTCACTTCCTGCTCCCTAAAGAGAACTTTGTTCAGGACAGTGGCTTTCATATTTTTAATTACCACATCCAAAATAGTCAGTTTACCATTCTAAAGTTAATTGTGTGTTCTTTATTTGTAACTGCTACCAACTCCCAGGGTCTAAAATGTTAGCATCTGTTTTTTTTAGCCAATTTGTCACTGTTTCATTATTTTGATTTTATGATCAGTATCATCCTGCAGATTCTCAATGAACCATAATAAATTCCTTTGCATTTTCTGTATTGTATTTTCCTTTGTATTTTGTATTGTAGCTTTTATTGGCTATATACTTATATATATTTATTTTTTTAATAAGGTCTCGCTGTGTATTTCAGGCTGGCTTTGAACTCATTTGTAGCCCAGGCTAGCCTCAAACTTGGAGCAGTCCTCCTGTCTCAGCCTCCCAAGTGTTGGGATTACGGGAGTGTGCCACCACGTGCATGGGCCACACTTTAATAACAGTAGCGAGACCATTCTCCTTGTCTTGTCATGGGGATAACATAAGAATAAATTGGAATGCTTTCTGTAAAGTACTACAGAATAGTCCATGTTTAGTAAGACAATGTGAAACTTTTGTCAGGCTCTTAATCAGTTGCAACCAATACGAGCTCCTTCCCTAATCAGGTCAGACCTGCATTAGTTTGGATGCCCATCCTCGAGCTATATCTACTTCCATTTGGAAGGCTCCTATTCACTTTTGAACAGTATTATTTCAAGAAAATTACACTATGCACATTTGTTGGGTTTCATACAAAAGGATCCTGATTTAATTAGAGATACAATTTTACATTTTAGTCTGCTTTTTAAACTGGCTTGTCCATGCTTTCAAACATCATAGTTGTCAAATAAAGAAGCATTGCTTTTTTATAGCGCTCTGCAGAATGTGCCAGTGCCATTGTTTATCTTTTATACAAATAGGATTAAGCCTGTGATCTGTGGAAGAGTGCTTGATTTGACATGAATTGAATGAGGAAGCCGGTCGCTTTCAGTGAGTTTGTTATGGGGCAAAATAATTTTTACTTGAAATTGTGTTTAGAATTCACTCTCATTCAGACCCATTTGTGTTCCCTTCAGTCCACTTCAACTGTATGCAAAAGTATGAAAAGGTTGCTCAGGGATGCTTTTCAAAGATGCTCAAAAGCATCCTCAAAAAACCCCCCAAAAAACAAAAACAAAAACAAAATCCTCATCTTCCATTTAATGTTACTGTGAATATTTCCTCTAGTGTTCCTCACTAGACTCTGTATTAGCAGAAATGTTCAGGCCTGGCCCTTCAGGATATTCCAGTTGCAGTGCTCTTTGGCCAGGCTTGGTGTTTCTCTTCACTCAGAAGGACAACAGGACAGAGCCATGAATGGATTGTGCACTAAAACTCGCTAGGCTTTGTTTCCCTACCCATTTTCATTATTGGTGCTTCTCTGTTGGCTCACTATTGCCTTCATCCCTGCAATATCCTTGATGTTCTTTTTTTTTTTTTTTTTGGTACCGGGATCGAACTTGGGACCTTGCACTTGCAAGGCAGGCGCCAGACCACTGAGCTAAATCCCCGGCCCTTCCTTGATGTTCTTATTCAGCCCTACAGCTGCCATTCCTGGGTGACTCAAATATTTGTTAAAACATCTGGAGGTGGGGGACAAAAAGAAAAGAAAAACTGGAATATTCTCAGCCTCTGCCAGCCATTTTGGGGCCTGATTTGCCTCATTCTTGCCCTGCCAGCCCAGGTCTGGATATGCTGTGACCAGCTGTAAGTTTCTGAGGCAAACGAAGACTTCTCCTCTGGGTTCTAGTCTTTTTTTTTTTGGTACCGGGGATCGAACTTGGATCCTTCCGCTTGCAGGGTAGGCAGTGGAACCACTGAGCTAAATCCCCGGCCCTTGGGCTCTAGTCTTAATGTGTGACTTCCTACACAGCATCTTAACTTGGACGAGCCACAGTCATTTCAGTCTCTAGTAAGCAAACTGAACTAGCCTAGCCATACCTGACACCCTACCCAGCTCCCTTCTGTGTTCTTCTTGGCCTTAGAAAATGGTACTGTCACACACATGCCCAGTATAATAACCATGTCCCATCAGGTCAGCCTCTGTGTTTCCATCTCCCTACTCCAGGGCCACTACTGCAGTTCACCTGGACACCTGTAGTGTCCAAATGATCTTAGTGCCACTTTTGCTTGTCTTCACCTGAGTTTCAATGTAGCATCCAAAATGTTTTTAAAATGCAAATTTGGGCTGGGGATGTAGCTCAGTGGTGGAACACTTGCCTAGCAAGTGTGAGGCCCAGATTCTATCCCCAGCACCACACACACACACACACACACAAAATCTGATCATGTCAACTCTTCCGATTCACAGTCTTCTGTGGCTTCCCACTGCCCATAATATCTAGAGTCTTCCAAATGGATTCCCAGGCACTGCCTGTCTGTTCCCCTTACTTCCCTAATGTTACTCCATGGCAGTCTCTCCCTCTACACTGTGCTCTGGCCTCCTTGGCCTTTCTGAGTGTCCCTTAGGGCCTTCACAGTGCCTGGAAAACACCTGCATACTCTACCTGTTGCCTTTCGCCTGGCTAACTCCTGCTGACTTCATAGCCTCCAGATCCCAGTGCATGGCACTGCCGCAGTCCCCCAGACTCTTAGCCTTGCCCCTTCATAGCACCAATCAGAATAGTAGTTACGTGATTACTTGCTTACTGCCCATCTCTTTTACTGGATCATAAGCTCCAGGAAGGAAGTGGAAATCTGTCCCACTCAGTATCCCAGTCCTAGCACAAGGGTGGACTGATATATAGTGAGCACTTGATAAACATTTTTAAAGGACTGAATATAACTTTCTCAGCTTTCTCCTGTGTGAAATGAGATCACAACCGAGGAGGACATCGTGAGGCTCAAGTAAGATGACATTAGCTAGGGCCAGGGATTTAGCTCAGTGGTTCCGCCACCTGCCTCGCAAGCTCAAGGACCTGAGTTCGATCCCCGGTACCAAAAAAAAAAGACATTAGCAACAATAAATGTTACACACCTTCCCATAATATAAGCACTTTATTATACACCAAATTATTTGTACATAACAAGTGTTTGTTTTTATGGTCCCAAGGATCTAACCCAGGATTTCTCCCATGCAAAGAAAGCACTCTACCACCAAGTCATAACCCCTTCCCAGCCTCATAAAAGTGTTTTTTAAGACAAAAAGTCAACATGCATATATAAGGAGTTTTTACTTTGTTCAGTCCTTCAAGGGACTGAGAGGTTTATGTGAGAGGTGTGCACTGTGGGAGGCGACAGTAGGTCACAAGCCTGCAGATATGTACACTAGGAGAGCAAGTCTCGTTGGTCGATGTTATCTCCCCTGTTCTCAGGCAGGAGGCCCAGCTGATTTGGTTACCCATTCCAAAACACCTAATCAAATGTGCCTTTGTTGGCGGTTCACAAAGCTTCTATTGAATGTGGTTTGTGTGTCTTGAATCTGTAGTGGAATTGGAAGGCAGCAAAAGGACTGTGAATCTCCTTTTGGGTGAAAACCATTTTGTTTAATAAACTTGAAGCTGTTGTCAGTTGAGACTTGAGAAAATATAAATGAAGTGGGTGAGGCCGTGCTCATTGTCCTTTACTTTATTCATCATTCGGGTCACCTGTTTCAGCTCCCTGGGCAGTGTCTTTTTATGTAACTGTTGTTTCCTTAGGGCAATCCAGAGGCAGAGTACTGATGAGCCCGCCTCCGGCCCAGTAAAACATGGAGAGGAAAATCCCGTCCAGAGAGAGCCCCAGAAGACTCTCGGCCAAGCAAGGCAGAGGCACAGAGATGAAGAAAACAGCTCGTCAGCTTGGTGTGGTGGCTGCCGAGTCAGATAAGGACTCTGGATTTTCAGGTTAAAAATATCTTATCCTTTCTGCATTGTAATGAATGATTTGACTGAAAAATTTCCTTCCTAAAACTTACTGTGTGGTAAGGATGGGAAATTTTCACACATAAGATAAATAAACTCTCTTTTTAAATTTTTTTTGGTACTGGGGATCAAACTCAGGACCTTGCGCTCGCGAGGCAAGCACGGTGCCACTGAGCTAAATCCTTGGCCCTCTTTTTAATTTTTTTAAGATAAAGTCTTGCTGTGTAGTTTAGGCTGATCTTGAACTCACTGTGTAGCCCAGGCTGGCTTTGAACTCTTGGTGATCTTCCTGGCTCAGCCTCCTGAGTGCCGGGACTACAGGCGTCTGCCACCATGCCCAGCTCTTATCTGATCTCTTAAAATGGTGATTCTAATGCCATATGGTAGGTTATCCGTCAGACTGACTGAGGTTAGCCCTGAAAGAATGATACGACATCTTTTTTCAATTTAGACCCTCAACGTGAAATCTTACATTCCCAACTATTGTAAGTGGTTACTGGAAAAATATTCAAATACTCATAATTCTGTTGTGTTACCTCCTTTTTCATGGGAATAGTTATATTGCAAGGAAGAAATACTACAGTGTGTTGTCATCACATAACAAATTTGAAGGCTGCAGTCATGCATCAATTAATGAGGGGGATATGATTTGAGAAAAGAGTCCTTAGTGACGCTTGTCATTTTGTGAACCCTACAGAGTTTACTCACAAACCTAGATGATTCGGCCCACTACACACTTAGGTGATCTGATAAAGCCACCATCCGACAGGCAGCCCATCACTGCCCAAACCATCAGTATGTAGCAAATGACTGTATAATTTTTTGCTAAGAAAGTAAGTATACTGTGCTTTAATGGTTGCCTCCATCCAGCAGTCCTTCCTTCCTAGTTACTGTGCATTTTTAATTTGGACAGTGAGCCACCTGGCTCAACTCTAAAATCGAGTACCCACTAGAAACAAGAAAGTAGAACAGCTTTCTTTACTAGCTTATTTTAAACCTTACCCAAAAGGGCTAGGTACATCCCCCTTGAAGCTCTTAATTTTGTGCTGAGGCTTTTTTCCCCTAGATATGGCTTCAGCTACTCTCACATGTTGAACTAATGTAAACATTTTTGGTCCAGGGGATGCAGAGTTGATGCCACAGGATTTGGGCTGAGTCAGCAGCCTAAGATTGGAATCTTTTCTAGGGAAAGATTTATATTTTCCAGGTTCACAGAGGCAAATTAATTTTATTGATTTATTAATTTATAATGAGAAATGCAGGTATTAGGAAAACTAGAACTCTCGTATCCTTAGACTGATATATTTTCACTTTGTAGGCATGCTGAATGAGAAGCCAAATTATAGACAGGCAGGCTGTTTCTCAGACAGAAACAAAGCCCGACCAAGGGATTAGAATAACTGGAATTAGTTGGCTGCATAGGGAAAGTGGCACTTTAGATTTCTTTTCTCCATATCCAGACATTTTTTCCCAAGCTTGCCCCATCATAAGTCTGCCCATGGCTTCATTCAATACACTGACTTTCAGACCCTCTCCTGGAAGAACTGATAAGAGGGGCTGAGGGAGGCCCTGGAAGGCAGAGTTCTCAAAACATGGCAGCCACAGTGTCTCTTTTTTCTTTTAATATTATGTTTACTTTTTATTTTTGTTTCCTATAATGAAGGTAATGCATGTGGATTGTAGAAGCTTAGAAACTTAGGAAAGTCAAAGAAGAAGGTAAACATTGTCCATAGTCCTGCTATCTGTAACTGCCAGTATTGTTGACAGTTTGGCACTTCTTCCAACGGGTTCAGCTTTTTGTCAGGCCAGTTGTTCTAAGAAGTATTGCACTGTTCACACATACAATAATATTACAAAGAATCAAACTCATTTTGTCCCAGAAGGGCCCCAGTGAATGCCTCCAGTCTCCTGGGCCTGGTGCCAGTGATTTTGTTTCTGCCCAAGCTGTTCCTCTTACCTTGAAATATGATGAAATTCATAAAACCAAAATAGTGTTTTTCATTTTAATTATTTTCCCAACTCTATATTTGGAAAATCTATACAAGAATAAATAAGTACTTCCTTAAGAAAGATATTTTCTGGGCGGGGATTTAGCTCAGTGGTTCCTCGGTCTGCCTCGCAAGCACAAGGACCCGAGTTCAGGACCCGAGTTTGATCCCCAGTACCAAAAAAAGAGAAAAGGAAGCTGGGTGTGGTGGCGCACACCTGTAATCCCAGCACTTGGGAGGCAGAGGCAGGAGGATCACTGTGAGTTCGAGGCCAGCCTGGGCTATATAGTGAGTTCAGGGCCAGCCTGAACTACAAAGGGAGATCCTGCCTCAAAAAACCAAAAAAAAAAGAAAAAGAAAAGAAAGATACTTTGTTTTAGATCTGGGTGTGGTGGTACACACCTATAATCCCACTGCTTTGGGAGGCTGAGGCAGGGATTGCAAGTGTGATCCCAGACTGGGCAAGTTAGCAACTTAGTGAGAACCTTGGTCAAAGTGAAAATAAAAAAGGGCTGGGGATGTGGCTCATTGTGAAAGTCCTGGGTTCAATTCCTAGTACCACCAAAAATAAAAGAAGGAAAAAAAGCCCTGAGTCTTTTCATTTTGGCATACATGCTTTTTTTCTCTGTACACACACACACACACACACACACACACACACACACACTCTGGCTGAACTATTTGAAAGGAAGTTTCAAATACTTAATATTTCACCTATAATACTTCAGTGTGGACCTCCCAAAAATGACATTCTTCTCCATGCCAAAGAAATTTAATACTGATACAGTTATTATTCGTTGTAGGCTATTCTGAGATTTCTTCCATTGTTCCAGTAATAGTATAGCTGTTTATCTTTGTCTGTTTTGGATCAGGACCCAATTGAAGATCATGCATTGCACTTAGCTGTCCTGCTTTTTTAGTCTTATTTATTAACTCCCCCATCCACCTTCCCTCCCTCCTTTCCTGACATTGATATCTTTTGTTTTGTAGTGTTTCACACTCTGAATTTCCTGGTAGTAGTTTCCCCATTATTGGAATCAGAGTAAATATTTTTCACCAAAATACTACATTGCTGATGTCGTGCTCTTTCTACTGCAACACATAAGTAGACTCATAAATTATTCTTAGTGATGATCTGGTTGTTCACTTAGTTAAGATGATGTGCATTGGATTTTACTGTAAAAATACTCTTGTTGTAATTAATAAATAACTCATGGGGTGATACTTTGAGATTGTGTGACTATTCTGCTCCCCACCAAATTCTTGACCAGTGGTTTTACCATCCATTCATGATTCTTGCCTGAATCAGTTACTGTATTTGCTATATTGATGGTTTAAGGTTGTAATCTTCTGTCATTCTTTATCTATCATTAACTGACAGCCTTCTGAAAAAAAAAGAAAGTGCTTTGCCTCCTGTAGTCCCTTTTTGAATATCACTGTGCATGGAATTCTTTTGTAATTCGGTTTGTTAAATCCATTAACATTATATCTGACACTCAAATTGTCCAAAATTTGGCCAGTGGAAGTCCCATCTAGGTGGCCCCTGTGTCTTTTGGGTATGTCCCTGCTAGTATTCGATCACCTCCTTGCTTTCTGAGACAAGCTGTCCAGGCTTATTTTGTACTTCCCAGCCAAAGGGTTGAAACAGTTTCTCTAAGGACCCCTGGTTTGCTTTATGTGCAGAAGGGAGTTATGAAACTAAGATCCAGGTACTCGATCTCCACTGGAATCATTTGTTTCTAGCTGAATAGTTCTTAACTAGCAGCACACATTTGGCTTATTTGTGCTTTTGAAAATACACCTACCTGGGGTCTGGGGATTTAGCTCAGTGGTGCCGCCGCCTGCCTTATAAGCACAAAGTCCCAAGTTCTATCCCCGGTACTGAAAAAAAAGAAAATACATCTGCCTGGGAACCTGGTAAATGAGTTCGTTTAGATCAAGGTGAGGACACCAGCAGCCATAATTTTTTGAGATGTATCACTGGGGATTCTAAATCACAGCTCTGTTCATAAAGGTCCTTCTGATCACAGTCTTTGCCAAGCTGCAGAGAATACAGTTGTTGATAGGTGCGTTCATTTAAATTACATTTACATTCTAGTCCTGCCTCATCCAGATTACTCTGAGATTTTTTTTTCAGTACTGAGAACTGAACCCAGAGCCTTCGTGCTGAGATATACCCCCATCCCTTAAATTTTAAATTTTTTTTTATTATTGAGACAAGGTCTCACCAAGTTACTCAAGCTTGGCTTGAGCTTTTGATCCTTTTGTGTCAGCCTGTCAGAGTGTTGGGTTAACATGTATGCGTCACCATGCCTAGCTAACTCTGAGATTCTTTTTTTTTTTGGTACCGGGGATTGAACTCGGGACCTTGTGCTTGTGAGGCAGGTGGCGGCACCACTGAGCTAAATCTCCAGCCCAAAATTCGAGAAAGAAACATATACCAATTCATTTTTTTTTTCTTTTTTTTGGTACCAGGGATCAAACTCGGGTCCTTGCGCTTTCGAGGCAGGCTGCGTAATCACTGAGCTAAATCCCCGGCCCCTGAGATTCTTGATGAACATTTAGGATAGTCCCAGACTCCTCAACAGCAGAGTCCAAAAGTGTTTTGGTTTACAGCAGGTGTCTTAACTACCTCCTTTTCGTATGGCTTTTTTACATAAGGACACCTTCATTTTCTTTGCATTGGAGAGCATCCTTCTAGTACCTGTATTGTGCAAGGTCCCTAGTAGGCACACCCATGTGCTCAGGACACCAGCAAAAGAGGTGCTTAGCAGGGTGGAAGGAGACAATACAGAGGAATATTTTTTTTTAATAAAGAGAAACATTTAAAATTGAGCTTAAATTTATCCACTGTTTTACACTTTGAAAATTCAGGAAGACTCTGGGAGGTAGGAGGATTGTAAGTTCAAGCCCAGCCTGGGCAATTTAATGACTTAGTCACCTGTCTGAAAATTAAAATAAAACCAAAAAGATCAAAGGGCTGGGGATGTAGGTTAATGGGAGATACCTTGAGTTCAATCTCTAGTATTGGGGGGAGGGAATCAAGAAGCTATTTTAATTTCAGCATAGATATAATTTTTGAGGTTTATAGATTGGTTTTGTTTTTATTATTATTATATCTTTTATTGCCCAGATTCTCCAAAGGTCTTGATCCATGCCTGCAGGCCTATGCCCTTCTCCCTTCTCAACAATAGAATTTTTAAAGTACAGTAATCAACTAACTTGAAGTCTTCAACTCATTTCTCCTGAAAACTGGTGATGATTACTTTCACAGGAACCCTAATTGATATAAGTTTTTATCTGTAAGAGAGGAAGGAAGTCAAGCAGAGCAATGATTTTTTTTTTTTTTGCAGTGATTCTTAATATTTTGGAGTGAGAAGGATAGTCATGGGCCCCATTTAATATCCAGTGAAAGCTAAAGACCTCAGAAAGATTCACAAAAACATAACACAGATGTTCCTTTCCATTTTAGAGGGCCTATGGCTTCTTAGGAGCTAGATTAAAAGACTCTAGCCCTGAGCCTAAGTGAACTGACCATTCTTCTGCCCACCAGATGGGAGCTCAGAATGTCTGAGCTCTGCAGAGCAGATGGAGTCGGAGGACATGCTGAGCACCCTAGGCTGGAGCAGAGAAGACAGGCTGAGGCAGAGCTCCAGAGCTGCAAACAATGCCTTCCCTACTCTGTCCCCCATGGTCGTCATGAAGAATGTGCTGGTCAAGCAGGTGAGGAGGACTAACATGGCCAAGAGTCTTTGCAGGTGAAAGTTGCTGAGTTTCCTGTGTATAAACTCTCCCTCTGCTAAAGAGAGTTCACAGACAGACAATAGAACCACACGAATGCATATTTTCTATCCTAGGGACAGGGTAGTCCTTTCAAGTACTGACATAATTTAAAGAGAAGTATGTGGGCTGGGGGTGTAGCTCAGTGGTAGAGTACTTGCCTAGCAGGCTGATACCCTGGGTTCCATCTCCAGCACCCCTCGCCCAAAAGTGTAGAGTCACCATATATGTCCTCATTTCTGAGACAGACCTTTTTTTTTTTCTTTCCAGTATTCGTGGTTTGTCCAAAGGGACCCTGAAATGCTTTAGCCATATAAAAAGGAACCAAGCCGAAATGTCATTACTTCAGTGGTGCATTCTAATATATAGTGAGGTTGAGGGTAGAAACCAGAGTCTTTTTCATTTGAATTACTCTGGGAACTTGAGACATGTGAGACACGTTGATTTGTTTCAGAAGTAGAGGCAATTTCCATGTGTCTTATGTCACATTTGGAGTATTTTCGTAGTAATCAAGTCAAAACCATGTCATTAATGACATGGCAGCTCTTGACCTTTACCAAAAGAGTCCACATAGCTTGTTGCAGAGTTGAAAAATACTCCATTCTCGGCTGTTACATAATTCTACATATTGTGTGATTATTGCCTAGATATGAAAGATTTACATGAAAACCTAAGCTCCAGCATTTCAGAACTTAATTATATGAAATTGGTTAAATTAGAATAGACAAGTCCAAGAAACGGAAAAGATTAATCCAAAAACATTTAAACTTATATTTTTACCTTGAATATGTCACAGTTTATATAGTGATGAGGCTACTGAAGATAGTGAAATTTGAAATCCTGCTTTAATATTGACCTTCCTTCCCATCCTGTGACAGGGTTTAGAAGGACCTGGCTGTAGCATGACAGGAAACCTTAAAGTTTTAACCATAACCTGCTTATTTCTGAGGAACACAGACTTTCAGTAACATAACCTGGTGATTCTGAAAAAGAATTAGAAGATTTTTGCATGGTAAATCACAGCCCAGCTGGAACCTCTGCTCTCTCTATTGAAAGAGAATAAAGAGAAAATAAAGACAGGAAATGGAGCCCAAGTGAGATTGACCCAGCCCACCAGTGCTGCTGGGTGCTTCTGGGCGACCTTTCCCTCAGCTCTTTTCTCTCTGCCTCTCACTCTGGCTCTCTTGCCACTCTTTCTTGCACAGCTTTTTGTGAGCCAATTTGTTGCTGGGTGGGCTGGCAGCCCAGGAAATGCAGCAGCCTACACGCAGGAGTGTGTAGGCTTTTTCAGCAGAACTGCATTCTTCAGAGGCCCATTCCCAGGACTGCTGGCCTTGACTAGGAGACAGGAGGTTTGGGGATAGGCTGGCCTCATGAAGTAGTCTAGTTTTGCTTTCTAAACATGTTAGAATCTAGCATGTTCTAAAATTAAAATAATATACTTTAAAAATCACTTGCATATTGTGTAATGTCTTGATTACTGCTGCTTAATTTTAGGAATTTTTCTTTCAAGGGTCTGATTCCAGTTCTGCCACTAGACAGCATAATCTTGCACACAGTTTGCCACTATAGACTTTTTTTTCACAGACTTCTGTTTCTTCATCTTGAACATGAAGACATACTGTGAAATGATCCTGAGGTCCTGTCCAAGTCTAAAATTTTGTTCCATATTCTCTCAGATTATTTCAACCTGAATAATACAATTTGTAAAATCTAGTAATTAGAACAAATTAACAGCAGCACTAGGAAGGACAAGCCAGTAAAATCATCTTGGGAAAGCAATATATTAGATATTTTGAGGGTAGCTTGGAGTTTTGTTTCTGATTGAATTCAGCTGGGCTGATTTCTACTTCAAAAGACCCCAGATTTTAGATTTTCTCTGATAGAGAGGTGGTTTCTGGGCCTAGCCTTGCTTGCTTTTATATATCCCTGATATATTTGAATGTCAGGAGGGCTTCCAAGTGGGCTTTCTGAATCATCCCAGCCTTTACACAGGAACGGAATTATAGTCAGTCTAACGTTCCTAGCAAAGCTGGCATCCAAGAAGCTGAAGTGTATGCAGAATGACATACATGTGCGCGTGTGGGAAGAGAGTCCAGGGCAAGCTTCCCGTCAGTCAGGTGCCCTGCGTCACACTAAGGAGCAGAAACTGTCAGGTGATCTCTGCCTAGCTGTATCTGCACTCGGGACTTTGGGACTGGGTTGGAACTGGCCTGGCCTGCAGATGTCAGAGACAATAGCCGGAATCAGTGCTTTAATTAAAATAAAAATGTGTAATTGAGGGACAATATAATAAAGGCAGTACATGGGCTGGGGATTTAGCTCAGTGGTTCTGCTGCCTGCCTCGCAAGCGCAAGGACAGGAGTTCGATCCGTGGTACCAAAAAAAAACCAACCCAAAAATAAAGGCAGCATAGCTTTTAGCTAGGATGAGTTTTAGGATCACACAAGATGGAATCCTAGCTGCATCACTCAGTAGCTTGGTGACCTGAAGCAAGGTATTTCAACTTTCTAAGCCTCAGTTTCTGCTTGTGAAGGGAAATGGTAACACCCAATGGGGCTGTTACAGGATTAACTGAGTAACCCATATAGAACATTGCACACGTGCTGGCTTAGGCAGCACCAAAACACGGCAGCTGTTAGTTACTCTTGAGAATGGTTTGGTGGTTGTTCAGTGTCACTGCCTTTAAAACAGGGACCCATAGACTCCCAATAAGATGAACTTTTTGATCAAAAGCAAGCTGTTTTTAGTAAGAGATTCCAGGCATAACTAAGTGAAAATAGTTTGGTGTAAAGTCACATTATAGTCTTGAGCTTTGCATGGAAATTATACCATCATCTTCTTATTTAAGTCAGGCGTGGTGGTGAATGCCTGTAATACCAGCACTAGGGAGGCTGAGGCAGGAAGATCACAGCAAGTTTCAAGCCATCCTGGGCTACATTGTTACAGGCCAGCCTGAACTGTGTAGTAAGACCCTGTCTCAAAGAATGAACTATATTGGGCCAGGGATTTAGCTCAGTGGTTCTGGTGCCTGCCTCGAAAGTGCAAGGTCCTGAGTTTAATCCCTATTACTAAAAACAGAAAAACAAACTATATCATTACTTCATCTACCTAGTTTCTTTTTTTCTGGGTGATAGAACTTGAATAAAAATAAGATATATCTTCTATATCTTATATAAATAAGAGAAGTTTTCCCTTTTCCAAAAAAAAAAAAGTGTGATGTCAGACCCACATGGATTGTCAAGCCACTTCTTCCATCACATTTCTGACGGGGGCCACCCTGATGCAGGAAGCACTTCCCTGGAACCAGTTGTGCACATACAAGTGTGCACCTTGGCCCCTAAAAGACTCGGCCCTCCTCCCTCCGGAATGAGCAGCTGCTTTCTTCCTTTGTTTGCAGGGCAGCAGCTCCTCCCAGCTCCAGTCGTGGACAGTCCAGCCCTCCTTTGAGGTGATCTCAGCACAGCCACAGCTTTTCGTCCTTCATCCCCCTGTGCCATCTCCAATCAGCCCATGTCACACCACTGAGAAAAAGTCAGACTGCAGAAACTACTTGCCAATTCTGAATTCTTATACCAAAATAGCCCCACACCCAGGCAAAAGGGGCCTTTCCCTCAGCGTAGAAGAAAGAGGAGCAGGCAGAACACAGAAGAAAGTCTGCACTGAGAGACTGGGTCCCAGCTTGTCTTCCAGTGAGCCGATCAAGACTGGCACTGTACCATCCAGACCCCCTACTCCAGCTCCACCCAGTGACAAACTAGCCGAGGACTCAGCTCTGCAGGGTGTGCCCTCTCTGGTGGCAGGTGGAAGTCCACAGACTCTCCAGCCCGTGTCCAGCAGCCACGTGGCGAAAGCTCCCAGTCTAACCTTTGCTTCCCCTGCCAGTCCTGTCTGTGCCTCCGACAGTACTCTGCATGGCTTAGAGAGCAGCTCTCCCCTTTCCCCGCTGTCAGCCAATTATAGCTCACCTCTGTGGGCCGAGGAACATCTCTGCCGCAGCCCAGATATCTTTTCTGAGCAGCGACAGAGCAAACACAGGCGCTTTCAGAATACTTTAGTAGTCCTCCACAAGTCCGGCTTGCTGGAGATCACTTTGAAAACCAAGGAGTTGATTCGTCAGAACCAGGCAACTCAGGTGGAACTAGACCAGCTGAAGGAGCAGACTCAGCTGTTCATAGAGGCCACCAAGAGCAGGGCTCCTCAGGCGTGGGCCAGGCTGCAGGCATCTCTCACGTCTGGGTGCAGTCGTCCAGGCAGTGAGCCAGAAGCATTCTCTGACCGCCCCGACATATAGCACAGCATATTTTCCAGTCATTTGTGGTCCCTTTGACTCTTTGGCTGTTACCTACACCTGTTTCCCAAAGCCTACATAAGAGCTTTTTCTTCTGAACTCAACTTCCGAAGCCACGTGCCAACCCCTGGCTGCTGTCTCAACCTGTGGTCCCTGTGCAGATTAAATAGGTCTCTCTTCCACTGTTCCTGAGTCCTTTTTCCTTAGCCTGCAGGCACTTAGCTGATCATGGAGCAGAGCAGGAAAGAAGATTGTGTGCGGCTCCTCTGTCACCTCCCACCATCCCATTTGGTAACTGGATTAAGGGCGCAGTAACATGGATGAGCATACAGATTGACACTTGTCAATCCAGGGCGTAGGTGACATGAGGATTCCTTCATCGATTGGCCCTTGTGTTAAGTAAGAGGAGGTGTGTTTGTATTCTATAAGGCACCGTGCCAGCTGGGCAAAGCCTAACATGCTTTGGGCACAGGACATGTCTGGCCATTCAAGCAGTTAATCACATAGCTTTGTTTTCTTAAACTTGAAAGTCAAGGGAAAGGGTAATACCATTTGACTCATACACTTTGATCACAAGCCAGATTTCATTTATAAACAAGTAGGCAAAATACTTATTTTTAAGGTATAGAATATATTCATTACCATCTGGAATTGTAGGTGACGGATTGCTATATTGATTAAAATGCTAGCATCGGCCTGGGGATTTAGCCCAGTGGTGCTGCTGCCTGCCTCGAAAACGCAAGGGCCTGAGTTCGATCCCCGGTATCAAAAAAATTAAAAAATAGACTTTAAAAAAATAAAAAGAAAGAAAATGCTAGCATCTCTTGGTTAGCAACTGGAAGATTCTGGTAACTCACACTTTCTTCAAACAGTGAAAACTGAAAAGCTCAAGTGTAGCTTCAGTGGTTCAGAGGGTAAGATAGGAGTTGCCGCTCTGCTGCCAATAAAGCTGGATTTTTTCTTTTTTTTGGTACCAGGGGTCGAACTCGGGACCTTGCGCTTGTGAAGCAGGTGCCAGAACCACTGAGCTAAATCCCTGGCTTTCCTTTGTTTTTATAATAGAAGGAAGAACTGATTATGCTTCTAAACTTTGAATTAAAGTTATCCTGAGGTAATAATAAGGCAATAAAATGTTGGAAAGCATTCTTGCTATCCATTTTCCCTTCACATCCTGAGCTTGTCTGTCCCATGTTGTAGGGCAACTGTGGAGCAGTCCTATGCCTCTCATGTGTTGGATGTTGGCAGCAAAGCTAAAGGCATGGTGATGTATTTTGATGCTCATCTGGAGATGGAGGATGTGATCAGAATTTCCAGATGATACACATTCTTTTCAGCTTCATTGTATCAGTGATTAGAAGTCTTAAGTAGTAAGGTTTCAGATTTTATCCCCTTATTTAAATTTTTTATCCTTTTGAAAATCTTTGTTCTTTACAAAAATTAACAAGTGTTTTGTTTTTTTTTGTACTGGGGATCAAACTCAGGACCTTGTGGTTGCAAGGCAGGCACTGGAACCACTGAGCTAAATCCCCGGCCCTGTTTGTTTTTTTGAGACAAGGTCTCACTATGTAGTTCAGACTAGCCTTGAACTCACTATGTAGCCCAGGCTGACTTCGAACTCAGGGAGATCTTCCTGTCTCAGCCTCCCAAGTGCTAGGACTACAGCATGTGCCACCAGTCCTGGCTCCTGCAAAGAAAATGTTCTTGAGTTTTTAACAAGCCCAGAAGTTAGTGATCACTTTAGTGGGTAGTTGTAACTCTAATATGGATTAGAAACTTTAAGAGTTCTGATTGCCTGTAATCTGTTTGCAGACACATTTGATTTAGAAATGACTGATTTAGAAATAACTCACTAAAAGTGCTCAATTCCTCTAGTCAATGCAGAATTATTACCTGCTGTTTGCTTTTCTAAAAGAGTCCAAAATCAGAGCAAATGTATCTCTAAGCAGACATAGCTCCTTGTAATATTTTTCTCTTGGTCCATTCCCTTTACCTCCCTCAAATCTGTATGATACTATAGCTGCTCTACTCTGCACCATCCTAGGAAGCTTCCTTTTTGGCAGAAATATGTTTGGCAGCAAAGCTATAGAGATAGGTGTGTGTAGAACAGCCTGGGCTCCAGTCATGAGTCTTAGTGGCAGAAATCTGAAAACACATGCTGAGAACCAAATGTATTCCATTTGAAGAGCCCTCAGAGGAGCTATGAGCCTCTTGGACTCTTCTTCCTAGATTAGGTTTGCATTTCCCTTCCTGTCACTGTAAAAGATGATGAAAGCCAACATTGATCCTCACTGCTAAGTGGCAGGGAGATGAAGACCCCCTGGCTTCTCTCTGATCTTGTAACTAGAGCTGAAAGTGTCTAGGCTGTTAGCATGGATATCCTTTCCCTAGTGAAGCTCGGAGTGAAGGAACCCAAGTAGAGAAGCTAGATCTTAAAGGAGAGACCCACAAGGCCAGAAGCCAGATCAGCAAATGGAGGAGCCTTGGAGTTGACCAGGAAGATCCCTGTTGGTTGCACAAGGCTGTAAGTAGTAGTGGCTGAAGTGATGCATGATGTAATTGGGTATGAAGTACTGGGGCACATCTACTGTTTTATGAAAGTGAGAAGCCGGGGGCTGGGGATTTAGCTGAGTGGTTTCGCCACCTGCTCCGCAAGCGCAAGGACCTGAGTTCGATCCCCGGTACAAAAAAAAAAAAAGAAAGAAAGAAAGAAGCCAATCTTAGCTCAAACTAACCCTTAGAACTTTTAGCAGATTTTATTGGCAATATTGAAACACATCTAGAAAAAGCTGCTGATTGATTCAGTTATGGGTATGGAGTTTAATGACATTTGTAATTTATTACAGTCAATGCTTTTTATTGATTATAATGTCTGACTTTTCTTCTCTACTAAGATTCCTTAGCAGAAAAGTAACTCTTGTGCATATATTGAAGTGGTTTTCCAGCTATGAATTCTTTATGAAACTTACTTACCAAATGTGAATTCCTCTGAGAAGGTATGAAGTTACTTAGAAATTGACTGTGAAATGTCAGAGAAAAATAAAAGTCACTTACTTGAAAACTATTTGGCCTATTTGCTTCATAACTGCTTTAAAATACCACATGAGATTTAGAGTAAATATTTGACTGATTGAAGTTTCAAAAATAGATAACTTGTGCCATTTGGGAATATTGGGATTGGATACTGAATATGTGGAAATTCATTGTTCAGACTTTCATAGTGTGGACTAAAAAGGAAATAGCAATCAGTCATAAGGCAAGTGAGTAGTTCATCTTCCTCCCAGAGCCTTGGACGTTTATGCTGTGGAGGTTGGGAGGAGTGAGAGAATATAGTCCAGAGGTTTCTTCCTTCTGACCTGATACTTCACAAATAAAACACTTAAATAGTAAAACTACTACAGTTGTATACCAGGATGAACTAAAGCCACATTAAGTGACATTCTCCCCACAACAGGTCCTTAGAAGTCTGTCTCAGAGCCTTCCTCTCTGCTTCCTAAAGCTTCCCTCAGCAAGGTTCACCTGGAGACTCTCAACAGGGAGACGTGGAGTCCTCACTGCTTCCCAGCCAGTCAGAAACCCCTTCCTGGTGTTTTTGTTTTTTGGGTTTTTTTGGTACTGGGGATAAACTCAGGACCTTGTGCTTGCGAAGCAGGTGTGGTGCCACTGAGCCAAATCCGCAGTCCTCTTCCTGGTGTTTTGAAGATGCTGGGAATATAAAATGTTTATTCTCATTAGAAGGCCTATAGCATTGGCACAATCTTAAGTCTTGCAGTATTATTTCCTATGCAGCTGTCCAAGTGACTTTCAAATATATGGCCATTAAGGATACTAAAATGAAAGAACAGTGGGTAAAGATGGCTAGAGAAGGCCCCTCCTAATAAAGAGAACCATTCTTCCCTAGGAAGTGGAGTCCAGAGAAGCAGCAAACCACCAAAAGTAGACCCTGTGAAGCTTAGGAGAGCCCAGTTACTCGAATTTGCAGCTCTCAGTGTGTTTCCTGTGTGTGGAAACACCTGCCCAGCTAGGACTGCCTGTTTGTGAACAGGTCTGTCTCAGCCACATCGTTGATGGCATCACCACAGATTGTAGCCTCATGCAGGTTTCTAAAGATTTTCACATGTCATATCTATTATTTATTAACTGGTGGCTTTGGCTAAGACAGCCTCTCCAGCTGTTGCTCCTCTCAGCTAAATAATGCAGAACTAGTTATCGGTAAGGTTTTTGCCAGCATTAAACTTTTTTAACATCCATAGCTGTGTTACAGGTAAGCCATAAACTACGTTAACTTTAAAAAGAAAAAAACGTGGATGTTTAGAAAAGCAGTTCCTAGTGCTCCAGTAAGATGTCTATATTAAAATGTTCTTTCTGTAGGATTTTAAACTTGTGATAGATGTCTATGGGAGAAGCATTTGCCAGTCTGCATTGGTTTTGCCTTTCTTATAATCACCTACTTAACAGCTAACATGAGTTCACCAATTCCCAAGTTTTAAAAAACTGTTCAAAGAATTTTTGTTAGCCCAAAAGGAGAATAATTTGTGATTGAATTATATCCTGTTCTTTGCTGGTCAGTTATCTGCAAGCAGCCCTTTGCTTTCATCTAAGATAAAGGGCCTGTTTTATCTTTTCTTGAAGAGTGTGTCAGGTAGCTTTTTATTTCCTCTCAGACTTCTCTCCTGCAGCCAGGAATGATGTTTCTCCATGTGCTGGAAGGGGCCTCAGGTTGATAGATAACTACTTCTGCCACCTGTAGAAACCACACAGACGCAGTGGTACCTGGTGATGTCTCTATTCTGGGCCAGTGTTTGGGTGTCACCATTCACCCACGTGGAAGACACATTAGAGATGAGAAGGGGCCACCTGCCTCTTGAAGCAAAATCAGAATTGCTGAGAAAGTCTACGTGAATGGCCTGCCTCTTGGAGTCCTTATCTCTGCTACCTCAGTTTCCCTTATTAAAGAGGAGGGAGAGTTCTTGCTGTACACTTGATGTCTTAGCTAAGCTCAGGGTGCAGTACAGGAGAATGATATCTCAAAGAGTTTGGAAATTGTTCTGCAGAGCAAGGCAGTCTGCAGCACAAAAACCCGGGGACAGAATCCAGGGGAGACCATGCAGCCTCTGAAGGGCTGTCATTTGCTCAGGATAATTAGATTATATTCCACCAACATTTCGTTCCAACAGGAAGAGAGCAAATGCCAACCCGTGATGGTTTCACTTTGCCTGGCTTTCTGGAAGCAGACATCTGTGGGTCCACGTGTGACTACTTTGGCTTTTCCTCTCAGTCCCTCCTTCATTCTTACAACACGTGGCCTCCCTGTCTTTATGAAGGATAGGTTATGCAAGACATTAGAGAATTGCTTGAAAGAACAGTCTGCATGACTCCTGCCTCAAATTATAGCAGCTGGAGGAGATGAGCAAGAAAGGGAGAAAAGCCTGTGGAGTACGAAGTGAACACAGCAAGTGGGTGGAAGCTGTTAGGAAATGAAGGTGAATAAAAACCGAAAGTAGGATCCTGAAGCAGCCGTGAGGGCCCCAGTCAGGTGAATGACTGGTGTTTCAAGCAAGGCCTGCAGAGTGGCTTGAGAGCCTGGGAGTAAAAATAGCTGCCTTTAATTTTCATAAAGACTCGCTTTATCTCAGGAACTGCAGTAGCCTTGGAAGGATATTCATTCTGGTAAATGGCCTATGACAGAGGAGAGCTAGGGCTTCCTCTGAGATCAGCCTGCAAGCCTTGCCTGCTGGGTGGGCAGATTGGCCTGGAGCCCACCCGCCCTACTTTTGGGGGTGGCAGTGAAAACCCAGAAGAATCAGGATTCTCTACCTCTCCTAGATGGTAAACTGTACTCTCATCAGAGAGCTGGATTGTAATCACTACCTGCACTCACCTCTCCTACAAAGAAGAAACTGCCTGGGGAGAGGCGGGAGGGCTTCTGATTACCCTCTGAAGGTCCCCTGGAATGAACTGACAATAGATCAGTCAGGGGAAAGGCATCCAATTTATTAATTTGCTTGAGGGAAAATCACAGGAGTATGATTGCCACTAACCCTATGAGACTCTGATGCTTACATGCCCGCCCTTATGGGAGAGGGAGGTGGGAAGATGCAGGCAAGCTCAAGGAGCAATAAATTTTTTAAGAGGAATGAATGGGCCCAGGAGAGGAAATCATAAATGATTTCTTTGGAAGAATGAATGGGCCCAGGAGACAGCTTGTAACAAAGTCTGTTAAGGTGTGGTGTCATTCCTCAGTCTCCCTTCCTGCCACCTTGAGTTCAGTTAGTGAAACTTCAGGGAAGAGACTGAAGGCAAGCCCAGGTCCGGGCTTTCGATGGATAAGAGAATACCAGAGTAAAACTTCTTCCAGTGTCTGCTGGTCTCCAAGAGCCTTTAACTTAAAGTAATCAGCATACCAGGGTGCCATAGTTGGGGGTGAAATTCTCTGGATCCCTTCATCCCAGAGTCAGGGGAAGAAAAGCTGGGAAAAGGTACACACAAATAGAAAAGGCATCTTCAACAGGTCCTACATCATCTTTAATATATTCAGGGAAACCTGGCTTGGAAGCCTGGTGAGTCTGGTGAATGTTTAATTTTGCTTCCCTCTGTTCCCCACAAGCCTTCTGGGCCTCTCCTGCTCCTCACTTCGCAGCTTAGGAAATGCAAGTGAATGTTCACCTAAGCAAAACAGAGGAAAGGCAGGGACTGCCACATCCAACAGCCCATGCTGCCCACAGCCTAGCACAGTAGCAGACACAGCCAAGGGAGCATGTTTTCAGTAATGGTCCCTTGCACTCCAGCAGGCTGAGAGGGGCTCGATAACTTACGAAAGCACCCCCACCCCTTAAAGGATCTCCATGCTGATGCTTGTCTGGTTAAGGTATATTCAGAAATACAGTATTGTGCCTTTCAGCCTGTGCTGATTTTTTTCTTTAATTATTATTACTATTACTATTATTATTATTTATTTATTTATTTTTAGTACTGGGGATTGAACTCAGGACCTTGCACTTGCAAGGCAGGCGGCGGAACCACTGAGCTAAATCCCCTGCCCTGATTTTATTTTGAAGCATTTTACAAGCATTAGTTGTGCTGTGAAGCTCCTAGCTGGTAAATTACTAACATTGCTGACTGTGTGAGGTAGGTTGGGCCACTGACAATTGCCCTTTTGCTCAGCTCCTGCCAGGACTGGCTTCTTGGTCCTGCCGCAGGAAAATTAGGAAGTGTGGGAGAGCACACATTGCATGGTAATTGTCAGCCACACTGCTTTGTTTTTCTTAATTCAAGGGAATAAAGGGTTCTTGGATCCACTGAGCCAGAGGTGAGCAGGCACCAGACAGCACAGGTTAGCCCTGGTTAAATCCCACTTTGGAAATCTTTAAAAACCCTCAGACTGGTCCTTATCACTTGATTGTTGTTGTTCCTCCTCCTCCACCTCCGCCTCCGCTTCCCTGTCCTCCCTCCTCCTCCTCCTCTTGTAATCTCAAAGACTGATCATTTCCACTTCTAAAAATTCTAATGGTTCCTGAAGCTCAGCTAACCAAAGCATTGTCATCGTCACTTCCAGATGACAAGTATATTGTTAATGTGGTTTTGGTCCCAGGTGCTAACTGAGCTGTAGGGTATCACACAGCGACTGACACAGAAAGCTCCTGCTTCTCCTCTCATGAGGGGTGACCATCATTCACTTCGATGATTTGGGTCTCGCTAGATCTACATCCAGAGTTAGGTAGACAGGGTGATACCTCTTCTTAACAGAGCTTTGGTAACCTTTGGCTTAGCACATAATTAGGACAAGAATCCTTATTGTCAAACTATTGAGAAGTATTGCAATAAGCACAATACATCAGCTGATAAGTCCACTCCAGCACTCCCAAGCATACTAGTTCTCAGAAGTGGATTATCCTGCTCAGCAACTCACCTCCAGACTTCTGAGCTAACCTACAGCAGCTCCACCATCTGCTTTCCCTGGGTTTTCCCCAACTGCTGCCAGCAGATCCTCATTCAGAGGATCCTGCGCTCTCCAGCCTCACCCTAGTCCTAACCCTAGCAGGACCAAATGCTTGTAGAAGCACAGGACCTACAGAAAGACACCTGTAGTCTCTGGCCTTGGAGGCCTGGCATCTGAACCAGGAGCCACGACCCACAGGAAAAGTAATGATGCAAGGTTGTGCCTGGTGCCTAAGGTGAGTTCCAGGCCAGAATTGCAAAGCTCTGCAGGGCTTAGAGAGGAACACAAGGTGAGCTGAGATCTGAGCTCAGCCTTGGTGTATGGCAGAGCAAACAGGGATGGGAATAGTGTTTCAGCCAAAGGAAAGAGCACGAGTAGCATGAGTATGATGGTGACATGGAACTTCCATGGCTTCAGGTCTTGAGCCAGTCTTTGTGAGCTGAACAAGTAACAATCTCTCTGGGCCTTGCTTCCTTATTTGTTGGGTTACTCTGTATCAACACTACAAGACTGCACCTTGAGGTGTCTATTACAGTGCCCCTGCTTGTGGGTGCTCAACAAAAAGTGATCATAAAATTGTTACTGCAGGTGAACAGTGGCCTTGGAGGAATGAGGCCTGGGCCAGCTAAGCCAGCCTCCACCCAAGGCCGGCCTTCCACTTTCTACTTACAGGTAGTGACCAGCAATTAGCCAGTTCCTGGCCTCGGCATCCTGCTGCACCCAGAACAGAGCCCCTCCTTAGTGCACGCCCTGCAGAATACCTGCCAAGCTTGCTATACCCAGCCTGTCCCAGGCCTCACCCCCATTTAGACCAATACAGCCAGCAGGTAGGGAGCTATAAAGGAGTCAGGAGTATTGATTGCGCACCTTATCCAAGCCAGGCTCCTTAATCTCACAGCTGGCCCAGCCTCTAGCTGCTGACTCAGTCTCCGGCACAATCCTCCACACCTGTATCAGGTGAGCTTCTCCAACCCTGTCTGCAAGTGGGCAAAGCTGGGAACCACGACAGCGGCTCCCCAGCATGGGACTGGGACAGGGCCTTAGGTGGGAGTGGGAGGGGCCTGGGGACTTGTGAGAAAGGCAGAGTCGCAGGCCCTGCTGTGTTTCAATCAGATCTTACAATTCCAGCCCTGCGAAGTTTCGGAAACTCCAGCACCAGCTCTGGCGAAAAGATCTCCATGGTCCAAGGGCAGGGCCAGTGTTTTCCAACGCACCTTCTCATTTGTTTCTCACACCCTCAGCTATTGCCCCCATTGACAAACAAGGAAACAACCTGCCACTCGTTCAACAGGTCTTAGGAGCACAGTGAGAGGCTGTGTGTGGAGAATAAAAACAGGTGCTCTCCCGCTGGGAAAGAGCTGGGGGGGGGGGCAAGGACAGTTGACTTCAACGTCCTCACTTACCAACTCTGTGTCCTGGGCGACCTCCTGGACCTCTCTGAGGTCATTTCCTCTCTGGCAGGACAGGCCTGATAGTCACACCGCAGCGGGCCATGGTCAGGATTCAGTGAGCTCACCAGGCCTGGCTCTGGCTGGAGCTCCAGAGCAGTGGCTTCTGTGACAAAGAACAAAGCCCCCGCGCAGCAGGGGTAAGGGGAGGTGGGAAAGACAGGAGTGGGAAGCAGGGAGAAGGGGGTCTTGAGCGCTGAGGGGTCGTGCTGGGAGCGGGCTCTGGCAATGCGGGCACAAGGGCCGGGGTGGGGTCAGGCTACCCGGACGCCCGCTCCCTAGATTCTGCTGATGGGTTGAGTCTCGCGTCAGACCGCTGTTGGCAGCAAGAGTCTGGGTCGCGGATGTCAGGGCCCCTGCCCCCTCCTTTGTCTACCAGTCCCAGGGTTGGGTCAGTGCGCCCCGTCCCCGGTGAGCCCCACCCCAGGCCAAGGGGCTTCAGGTGACAGCGCCGCCTCGTGGCGGCCCCGAGCCACTACTGCTCCGAACGCGGGTCACGCCTCACCCCAGTCCCTTCCCCCTGGCCGCAGGCGATGGAAATGCAGCCCTGGCGCGAGCAGGTTGGAGGAGTGGGTGCCTGGGTGTCGCGGTCCCCCGAGTGCACCCTTGTTTCCTGTCATTTAATTTTCTCTCCTGAAAGCGTTGGTAATTAAATCCTTTGTGCGCGAGCCGTCGCACCCCGCCCCTGCTGCTCTGTGTATTAATTTCCCTGCACGGACAAGGGTTTCTGGACCTCGGCTGCCGGCGCCCTCGCCCTCGGACTCCCCAGCTCGGCTCCCTTGCTCTCCTGGCACCTGGACGGTGAGCGCAATAGTAACAATCTTAGAGCAAACTCAAGAACAGCCCTCCCCTACAGCTCCCATCCACTGAAACCAAAGTCGTGATATTTCTTCTCCCCTCCTTTCCACCCTGAAATCGCCCCGTGCTGCTCTCTCAGCCACGGCCCTGCCGTCTCCCTGCGGCTAGGCTGGAGGTGGGGGAGCTGGGCCGGCGGCCCGGGTCACAAAGCGCATCCAGGGCACAAGTAGAATTAGAACTCAGCTCTCCCAAAGCTCGGCTTTTTCACGGTCATACATTCTTAAATTTCCAGGGGCCAAAAAAAGCTAGGGAAGACTCTAGGCAGCTCAGGTGTAGGGCAGAGGCATCTGTGGCAAAGTAGAACCGGCTTGCCCTACTGAGGGTCATCCTAATGACCCGGAGCCACTCGGCACTCGGGAATCACAGTTTGGCGATCTGTCCAGGATGCCCCTTACTGGCTGGGGACGTGGGAGCGCCCCTGCTCAGTTCGCCCCACAGCCGACTGGCTCCTGCCCCTCTGCGCTGCCTCTTCGTCCTGCCGCCCACAGCTGAGAAGTCAGTCACAGGTGGCGCCCTCTCAACCCCCCCCCCCTGCCCGCAGGGCCTCCCTTCCCAGAACGCGCAAACCTGAGGTACCACCATCCCTTGCCCTCTGAAATCACCCTGGGGCAGCTGCTGGTGCTTAGCAGCGGGCCCTTTCCTCCTCGCCTCCAGGTCAGCGCCCAGCTCCCACCTGCGGAGCTCGGCACCACCCTGGCCTCAAAGGGAAGGACTGTCATGGGAGCCCACTCCGCCAGCCATCCGGCTCACGGGAGCCTGGACTCTCCCAGTGTCATGAACGAGCTTGTGCAGATGTTCCTCCCCTCGGACCTCTCCATTTGAGGCTTGTTTATGTGTCGTCTCATTTCCACGGGGGGAGGGGTGCTTCTGGCCCCCGCGCAGCTCACCTTCTCTGCCCTAGGAGCGTGGAATGGCGGTGGGGGAGCCTCTTCCAGGGCCCTGGGATTGGCTCACCCTCTCTGCCCTAGGAGCCGGACCTCTCCATTTTAAAGTGTCCAGCGAGTGAGTGTGGAGATCCCTAGCAGCGCCTGGTCCTCTCCAGCAGCACCCTGACGTTGCCTGTTCATACACAGTCCAGAAAGAGCCAGGTGTCATTCCTGAACCCTGGAAAGGGCCCCCAGAATGGACCGTTCTCACTTGTGCACACTGCTCCTCCCAGAGCAACTTGTTTGCCATTCCCAGTCTGGGCAGTACGCAGCACAACCTCCTTCACCTAGAAGCCCCTGCAACTGTCAGCTCTGCTGTGCAGAGGCTGAGCCTAATTACTTCCTCTGTGCCCACCAGTGCCTAATACCTAGTAGGTGCTCAGTGCATGTATTGAATGAATGAATCAATGAATGAAATCGTGACTCCTTGTTACTTTTCAGTAGAGACTTTATTGGATGTCTGCAAAGACAGAAACACAAAGATAGTCTTGTATTTGTGTTGGAACAGCCTGGCTCTTTCATTTACTGCTTGTGAGGCTTTGGGCAAATTACAGAACCTCTCCGTGCCTGTTCCTTTAGTTGAAAAATGGGGGTTATAATACAGTGTGCCTCACGGGGATGCTATGAGGAACAAGTCAGTACAAATAACATGTATTACAGGGGGCTGGCATGTAGTGAGTGGTGAGTAAAAGTCATTATAACCAGTAGTACAATTCCCGTCTGTGCGCTACAGCCATGCTAGGTACTGAGGAAACAAAGGATCCTGCCATCTCCATTCCTGCCCCCCCGCAAAAGGTGTGGTACAATTGGGATCCAAAGCCACAGGAGGAAAGGAGTCAGGATGACGGGAAGCTGCTGGGGTAGGGGGAGTTGGGGCAGAAGATTCCGCAGGGGGTTGGATCCACTGAAGAAAGGCTCTCTGGAGAAATGTGACTTCAAGGGGTCAGGAGAGGCCTCAACTGAAGAAGGAGGTAGGCAGATGGGGCCACTACAAATGGGCAGGGTATCACTGAGGTGCAGAGGGCCAGCAAGGGCCAGTTGAGAGGGGACACTGAACACGCCCTCCACATCAGAGTTCTAGCCCTTCCAGTTCTCCCATCTTGATGGGAAGGCCTCCTTCCCGTGCTGCTTGCTGAAGCTGTGCAGAAGGCAAGAGGCTGGCAGTGCCCATAGGGCACTCTATGATGTGCAGAGAGAAAGGGATCTCTGATGTCCCAGTTGAGCTCTCCAGAAGCTCTGGGCTGATTTCCTCAGAAATGGTCTCCAATCCAGAGGACCTTGTGGGTCCAGAGATCGATTCACATTAGACTCATCCAAATGGGACACCATGAGCTGAGATGAGCTAGGATTTTGTAAGAAGTAATCAGAGGGCCAGAGGTGGTGGTGCTTGCCTTTAATCTTGGCTACTCAGGAGACTGAGGCAGGAGGATTGCAAGTTCAAGGCCAGCCTGGGCAATTTAGCCAGACTGTGTCTCCCCCCACCCCGCCACATAAAAGGCTTGGGGTGTAGCTTAGTGGCAGAACACTGGGTTAGCAAGCATGAAACCCCAGGTTCAATCCCTAGTACTGGAAAAATAGTGATCAGAGGGAGGAGGCAGGGCCCTTGGGGAACATGGCCTGAGAACAGTCTCCAACTATGGCTGCAGGACGCATCCTTATACCCATCATTCCTAAATGCAGACTTGCAATTCCCAGAAATCATGGGTACCACTGCCTGTGCTCGTCCCTCCTTCCTCCACTTCCTCCTATAGCCCTGCCTGTCTGCCGGCCTGCTCCTATTCATCCTGCCTGATCCAGATCTCGGCCCTCTGGGAAGTCTCCCAGCCCAACCATGGTGGGGAGAGCCCTCTTCCAGGCTTCTGTCACACCTTGTCTTCCCATCGGCATGCTCATCCCATGGAATCAACCATTCACAATTTGTCCTCTTCCCTGTATGCTCCCGGAGGTCAGGTACTGGGTCTCATTCATGTTTGCTTTCCTAGCTCTTGGCATCATGCCTGGCATGGAGTCAGCATCAGTGGATGTTTAAGAAATGAGTGGACTCCCTGGGCCAGCCCCAGGCATAGTGAGAGGATGGAGGGCAGAAGCACAGCCAACATCAGCAGCTGCCGATTCACCCGCAGGCACCTTCCACCCCCACCCGGGGGCTCACCCTGGTGGGTGAGCAGGTCCTAGGCTCTGGCTCATCCCTGAGGTACTCAGATAAGGTAGGGCTGTCCTCTCTGACCATCTCTCCTTTTCTCCCTAGGTGTGGGTCATCCCCCATGCATCCTTGTGAGTGTGCCCAGGGGGAGGGAAGGAGGGAGTTGCGCTGGGAGATTCTCATGAGCAACGAGGCCACTTGGAGTGCACAGAATATAAAGCAGAGTCAGTGCACTTGGGGGCCCAAGTGGATGGACAGCGATAAGGATAATCATGATTCTAGGAAAGGAGAGTGGCCACAGGACCTAAGGACTGACTTGTAGAAGGGACATGGGTTCAAGGCTCCTTAAGGTCGCCCTCTTCCCAAAGCCACTTGGGCTTCTGAAGCCTCCAGTAGGCAGTTCATACTTTGCCTAACTCAACACCAGGTCATGGTCAAAGCAGAGTACCCAATTTCTAGATGGGAATACTGAAGCACTGGAGAGCCAAGTGTCTTACTCCAGCACTTGGAGTAGAGGCCAGAGGACACAGGACTTCTGTTGCCACAGGCAGATGGCTCTGCCTTGCTTTGGGGATCAGAGAGCTGTGCTGCCAAGTATGGCCAGCAGATGTCTCCTCTGCCCCTCCTCCACGTGGGTGGCAGTGATCAGTGAGGAATGACACCATTGACTGTTAACAGAGGGGCCAATTGACAGAGGCAAAGGCTTTGGGTGGCCCTGAACCCCAGCTTCATGATCTTCTCCTCTCCTCAGTGCTCCTGACAGCCTGTGCTTTGAGGTCACCCTAATGACCTGTCTCCCCATCCTGAGCACTCCTAGAAACCTCTCCAGGGTGAGAACTTCCTGGGGACAGAGTTATCTTGTCTTTTTTTTCTCCATGATGTGTACAGTACAGTTCTGGGCCATAGGGATGTGGAGCAAAAAAATCCAAAATCTGTGCATTTATTCAGTCAGTAATTATCAAGTGCCTGTTACGTGCCTCGTCCCTGCTAGGCATTAAAAATATAATGGTGTTAGAAAGATGACTGTGGCATCCGCCCTTTGGAGTGGACAGCCCTTGCTCTCTAGAACATGCCGAGAATTAGCTGCAGTTCATCTGTCCAGCTCTCCAGCACATCCACGGCTTCCTTGCTGGTTGCCCCTTGGTGTATGTTCAGGGAATCCGGACTGTCACATCCCTGGCCTGCTAGGAGGTTCCTTGACAGCTCAAGCAGACCCTGCACTGTGCAGCTGAATCCAGCCAGTCCTGCACATCTTTAGGTTCCATTAGCATCCATATTCACTCAGGGCAACTCCCTGCTGGACTTCAAGCCTTCCTGGCTGCTGCCAGAGCTGGCAGCCCAAATCTTCGCAATTGTCATAGGGCTGAAAGAACCTAGGGCAGTCAGCCCTGGCTGTGATGAAGCACATGGACTCTCTCCTTCATTCTCTTCCCCACTTGCCAGGGGGAGGAGAGTGGGGAGAGGAGGGAAGGGGAAGTTCCCATCCCTGCTCTTCACAGGCCAGCAGACCCCAGCATCCTGGACCAGAACGATATCACATACTTACCACCTCCTAGCCTGGCCCTGCCAATCACAGTGGACACCGGTGGAGGGCTGCAGCTGTGCCCTGGATTTCGCTGCTGAATTTTTTTTCCCCCCGCCCCCCGCTTCACTGCTGAATTATGGAGGGATCCCCAGGGAGGAGCAGGGGCAGCAGGGAACGGTTACTCGGGGAATCTGGGCCACGGTTACTTACCAACTTGGACAGAAGCATTTTTAATACTTTATTTGAAATCTCTGAAGAGCTAGTATGACTAGCATCTGTGTATTCTAGCCCTACTAACAACCATAGTGCCCATATAATGGTATCAAATCCAATTAAAACCACACATTTTATTGATGGTCTTCATCAACAATACACACAGGACCACGTTCACAAATGGTGCTGAAGTCTCACACCCGGCAACCTCCCCAGTCACTCTCATGGACCAGTATCTTCCCTCCCCAGGATGTCAGACTCATGGTGCAGTCTCTGGACATGGCAGACCTGGCCTCCAAGCTTGAACTCTAGGGCCAAGAGACACCCACAGCCTGAATTGTCCAGGCGTCTTCCCTCCCCTTTGCCACTCTCACTGCTTAAGTATAGCCAGGCTTGGGAGTAAAGATATCCCAAGGACTCTCCATTGAGAAAGCCTGGGCTCCCCATCAGCCCTCCCTGCCACATCCTTCTCTTCCAAGTGGGAACTACCAAAAAGGCAGAGTGACCATTTGTCAAAGGGTGGAATTCAGTGCACAGAGGGGGCAGTGGCGAGCTGCCCCCAGTGGCAGGGATCTCATTGTCCTGTTCACCACTGTGTTGCTAGTGCCTGAAACTTGGCACATAGTTGGCGCTTGATAAATGTATGTAGGATGAACAAATGGAAGACTGAAAGAAACAACAGGGGAGGGAGAAGTATGAGCAGTTAAGCCATTATGACATTGGTCCTCCAGGGAGAATGAAGGCAGGACCTGGGTAAAATCCACCCAAGCTCTGCCCAAGAGTTCACGGTGTTGTGCAGTTGGAGTCACTGTGGCCACCCACTGGACTCTGCAGGGCAAGGGCTTCAATCCTGCTGGTTGTGTGGATGTCAGATTGCCCTTGGACCTAGTCAGGAGAGGGCATTTGTGTTGTCTCCACTCCCTCATATGTCCCAAGGGTCTGCTTGTCCAGGTCCCAGCACACATAACAGTGCATCCATGCAGCGCCAGTTGGATGAGCAGGGACAGTCTGGCAAGTGCACTTTTGTGTTCTGGTCCTGCCTGTCCCCAGCCTTTACTCCTCCACTCCTCCCTCCGAGTTGGGCATGATCTGGCTCTTCCCTCCCCACATCTTCTCCCACCTGACCTCAACACTGTTCTGTCTCCTTGTCTTCAATCCCAGCCCTCTCAACTACTGTTTACATCAGGGTAGTCCTCTCCTTGGTGGCTGGGTTGGGTCCAAACATTTGCATCATGATTTTCAGACTCCTCTCATGGCCATTGTACTGTCCACAAAAACAAATAATTCAGCCATCTCTGCAGATCTGGCCCCGAGGCCCAGCAGTCACAAAGAGGACACCAGAAGATTGGAGTGGGAAGGAATCTCTAAGCTCATCTAGAACAACCTTGGGCAAAAATTCCTTACACAGTGTGCCTGGCAGATAAGTGCCCAGATCTTGCAGAGTACCTCCAGTGGTAGAGTGCTCACTGCCTCCCCAGGTAGCCATTTAAGCATCAAACAGCTTTAGCTGCTAGAATGCCCTTCATACAGGGCATAGATGAGACCATGTGCTCCTCTCCTCTCACCACCACCTCTCACCTCTCTCTCTCTCTCTCTCTCTCTCTCTCTCTCTCTCTCTCTCTCTCTCTCTCTCTCTCAACTTTCTATACATTTGCACAGCATTACAATCACATGCCTCCTTCACTTATGGGTGGCTCCCCTTTCCCTCTCTTTTCTTCCTTCCCTTCCCAACATCTAGCAAAAACCCAGAGGCTGGAAACCAAAGGGAAAAGCTGGAAGAGTGCCAGGGAAAGGAAGCATCCAGCCAGGTCCTAGACTGTGCTGGAGTGGCCAGTTAAGCCAGGCTGGACAGGGAATAGCATCTGGAAATGCCAGGCCATTGGTTGCCATCTCCAGAGAAGAGACCTTGAATCTGGAGTGTGGGCAGCAAGCTCCTGTGCTCTTTTTCCCCTCACTGCCCACAATCCCACAGAGGGGACATACCTGCCACTTCCCAACTTCCCTGGCAGTTGGCAGAGTGGACTTGGATGCCTCTCAAATGTGGTGATTTTAAGCATTTTCCAGGCTCCAGGTCCTGGGGAGTCTTATCAGCAGCAAGAATTCACTGCTCGCTCCCCACATCAGGGAAAGTGTTCCAGCACACAGCAGGGGATACAGGAGACATGGTAGGAAGTGGATGGGCCAGGCAGAGGGGGAAGAAGGCTTCCCAAGGATAAGGAACAAGAGCAGAAGCCACCTGGCTGGCTGCTGAGGAGACTAGCAATGCCTGAGTGGCCATTTTTCCTCCCTGTCATGATTCCCCAGCTTACACTGTTCTTCCATGCTGGGTGAAGACCAGGGGTGGGTGCACGGACTTTACTAGCCCAAGGTTGTAGTGGATCATGGGTGGCGACAAGGGTGTTAGGGTTCAGGAGGAATCGAGACACACAGGGAGAAATGATCACGTGCCTGCCTGCTACTTGTCCTTCAGCTTAGAGCTCTCACTTCCAACATTGAACATGGGGACCAACAGGCCCAGCAGCCACCTCTTCCCGAAGACCTCCTGTAAGTTCTTGCGCCAGGGCTGGGCCCTCACTGCCACCCCCTTTCGAACCTGGTAGCGTGTCTGGCCCCGGAGGATCAGCAGCAGCTGGTGGCAGCAGAAGCCGGCGCAGGCCAGGCCAACGGCAAACCAGAGGTAGAGCATGAGGATGACGAACATTTCAGAACCGAGGACAGCTCCTGCGGGGAGGAGGGGGGGACACACCAGAACCGCTTTACACCCAGGCCACGTACAGAAATGCGATCCCGGCTGGCGCTTTCCGCTGCGAGGGAGGAGATTAAAGAGACTGAAGCTACATTTTGTAGCAATCTCAGCGCTGAAGCGAGGGAGAGGAAGAATGAACTAGTTGCCCTAAGTTTTCCTTGTGCTGATGGCTCCTGAGGCGAGAGGGGAGAACTGGGGACCTGGGGAAGAAGGAAGGAAGCTTGATGAGCTCAGCAAGCAAGGAGAGCCTGCAGCTTCTCTAGCTAGTCTAGACGCTGTTCCCATTTCCATACAGGCGGAAATGCCTCCCTCTGTCTCTCTCTTGGCTGGAAGAGAGAGAAGGGGGGCTACTTTAGAGGAGCAAGTGGTGATTCGAGGGCCCTAAAGAGGGGGCTGGGGCAGTTGTCAGACTGCAGCACCTTCTCCCTGCAGGGCTGGGAGCAGCATCTGGGAGAACTCTAGAAAAGTGACAGCATGATGGAGAACAGGACCTAGTCATCAGGAAGAACAAGTCACAAGCTCAGTCAGCCTCAAGGACAGACTTAGAAAACATTTCAGTCATTAATGTTACCAAGAGGACAATGTGGCACCAGAACACCCAGCCAGGGCTGTCCTGTCGGCCAGAGCTTGCTAAGGCTGGAAGAAGCCCTGAGATCACCAGGTCAGCCCCTGACAGTGGGGCAGCACCTTATCTAAACCAAACACTTCCTACTATTGATTTTATAATAGAGATCCCACACACTTCCTCAGACTTTTGGGGGTCAGTCCATGCTAGGTTTGAATCTCCTCACTGTGTGGACTTACAAAAGGTTCTTGACCTCTCTGAGTTGCAGTTTGCTCATCTGCAAAATGGGTGTAATAATGATGAGTCCATGGGGGTGGAGGACACAGGAAATGATGTAAGAAGTAGCCAGCTTTCTGGTTTACACTTGGTGCAGCTCCCCTGCTGAAAGTCATTTCAAAGAAGACTACATCCAAAAAGGGTTCACGTTTAACTCCTAAGACATCAAGCTTTCTCTTTGTTCCCAGAGCTTGGAGTCCTGGCCAGGCAGCTATAGTAAAGACACCTACCTTAGCCTGCCCCGAAGCCAAGGCAGTGGGCCCAGGACAGAACTCAAAAGCCCTCCTTAGCTCTTTCTTTGCTCCCTATAAAGTAACCCCATTACCACCTTCTCCAGTGAGGATTTGGGTAGCTGCTCCAGGGACACTACTTTACAACCTATTTTACCACTGAAAATCTTGACCATCTTCCTTCCCTGACCAATGCCCTGACCAGCCCACTTTCCAGGTCTCTTCAGACTCCAATTTCCAGGCCCCTGAAAATTACGCTTTTTAACACTTGTCTGATCTGCAGAAAAGTGGTGGGCTCAGCAGCCAGGAAGGATGGGATCTGACTCAGGTTTGCTATTAGCAGCCTCCTCTTCCCTCATCCCTAAAAGCTTTGGTAGCAGGGTTTTCTTTGCAGAACTGGAGACAAACAGGTCCAGCTGACCAGGAGCTAGCTTCAGCTGGCATTTAGAGCAGCCTGTCCACTGACGGAGGCAGCAGTGGGACAGGAGTCACAGTGGGTGGAGGCATCCCCTGACCCACTTCTTCTTGTCAGCCCAGATTAGGTTGGGGAGCCACATACAGGAAGGAAGATCCTGGGGCCATGTGCCCTTCAGCCTTGAGGAATGCTGATGGGCAAAGACGGCCCTGGAACTGGGATGCAACTGCCTTGCAACTCAGCCCCGGGAACAAGTCTGGGTGGATGGAGGCTGCTCCCCACAGACTTTAGTCTGGCACTAAATCAAGGCATGAGGAAAGACCTGTGGCTTTTTCCTAGCCCCGTGAAGCAGCTACAAAAAGCTATTCTGGGGACCTGCATTCTCTCAGAGTGTTTGAAGTTACCTAGCTTGGCTGCTTCAGCTCCTCTTAACTATTTAATAATAATTCTGCTTCTTCTTTTTTTAAACCCATAGAATTTTCCTATAGGGCCTGAAAGATCACATCATCTGTCTCCCCTGACCCCTGCTTCCCACCAACTATCTGTAACACTATTGATAGATTATCACCCAACATCTTCTTTAATACATCCAAGGACAAGAAGCTCCCCTCCTCCCAATGTGGTCATTGATCTTGAAAGAGTATCAGAGAGGCAGGGCACTGCAGGGGAGAGACTATGAGCCTTGGAGGCGATAGCCCCAAGTTCAGAGCTGTGTGGCTTTGAGGCAATTTAACCTGGCTGAATGTTTGGTTGTTGAGCCTTAAAAAAAATGATAATAGCTACTTCATGGACTTGTCATGAGGACTGGATGAAATGAGATGCCAGCGGGTGACACATAACAGCTGCCCAATGAACATCTGTTCCCTTTCCCTCCTGTTGGACTTTCCAGTGGCACCTATCAATTGGTGTACTCATCCAAATGCCAAGGCACATGTCAGATGGTGTCACCTCCATTTTCCAGATTAGAATAAGTTCACCTGGTGACACAACCTGTTCTGATCCACAAAGCCAAAAGAAAGGACAGCTTCTGAAATCTAACCAGCTAGCCCTCTCCTTCTTTGACATTAGCTGAGGGTGTGGGGTCAGCAGCCACCTTAACCTTAAAGACCCCTCTCAGCTTTAGCTCTCAGGGACCCATTTTCAGCCCTCAGGATCAGCACCAGAGCTGGGGACAGTGCAAGTGCTATTAAGTAACTTGTGCCTTCTCACTCCCACCTGCTCACCTGTCTTCCTAAGCAGGAGAGGACGTGCTCTCAGCAGTTTGGACTGGAATTGGGGAAGAGGAGTTGAGAAGGAGGAAGCTGAACAGGGAGCATATGTAGGGGAGAGGGGATATAACATCAGCAAAGGCGGGAGATGAGAATCTTGGCCTCCTTTTCCTAGTGGTTATGGGGAGCAGATGAAGGCTAGAGGGACTCATCTTTCCGCTGGAACAGGGGTCAGGACTACAGGGTAGGCCCCAGCTGGCTCTGTTCTGCCATCAGAGCAAAGAAAGAGGCTCTTTCTTTCTTTCCTGTCTCCCAAACCTAGGACATATGGATAGGCCTCAAGCCCAGACTTATCTCAAATCAAACCATTTCAAGATCCTCTTTCTGGAACTACCCATTTTTATGGCTGGTGAAACTACTTGGAAAAGGATGTGTGATCAGGTTCTTTGGCTCTCCTCATCCCTCCACCTGCCCGTGCTCACACTCCACCCCCAGCCGCCCACCTCCCCTCCCCTAGCCTGGGTATTTTGGTCCTGGCAGCCTCCTATGCCAGCATGGAGATCCAGAAGGCCCAAGAGTTCTGTGTTCTGGGCCCAGCTATTCACCAGCCCTCCAGACATCCCCTGTGGTTGGGACCTCTCTGTTCCCACAGCCAAATGGCACAACAGTTCCATGCCTAGGAAGAGCTGGGCTCAGCCACAACACAGACTAAAAGGATGGCTTCTCCCAGAGTGGAACAAAAGTTCTATGAATGTCCAGCCCAGGCCAGCCCAGGCACATCAAGACATCTTGGGCTGTCAGAGAAAGTAGCTGTGCCCTGCCTTTCATGGTTCCTGGATGGTCAATGTGTTCAGGAACATGTTCTATTCCCAGTGATGCTGAGGCAGAGCACTAGGAGCTGTGGTTTATGGATCTGGGGACATGCCAGAGACTGCTACTCAGTAGTCATGAGACACTGGGAAGGCCGTTTAGTTCTTCATCTAAGAAACGAAGTACCAGTGCCATACACACATGCTCACACACTTGTGTGCACATGACCAATTGTGCAACCAGATTGGTCACAGTCACAGGCCAGGGTGGGAAAGGAGTGGAAAGAAACAAAGTAGGGGCAAATTACAAGGCCAAGTGAAGTAGTAAGAACTGCCACCAGGAGCTGAGTCCTGCAGGACCAGTTATCAGAGCATTCCTTGAGATGCCCTATTCCAAGGAGAGTCCTCGAGAGTGTGCTCAGCTGAGCACCAGCATGAGGACCCATTCACCTGGCTCCTGCAGGTGTCGGGGTATTTCAGAGGGCCATCTTCCAGCCCAGACACAAGCTCTGCATTGTGAATATGGAGTCATTTAACATGGCTGTGTCTCCAACTAGGATGCCCCTGCTCTGATTCACCCACAGGCTGTAGAGCTGTATGGTGGGGTCAAACCAGCGGAGGCAGGAGGATGGGGTTAGCCTCTGCTGAGGCTGGCTTGGGGTCAAGAACAATTTATTGCAGTTAGGTGGCAAGACCTCTGGAGGGGAAAGTTTTGGGAATGTATGAGGTCCAGGCAGAGGACAGTTACAACATGGGCCACGTGGAAGTGTGTGTGCCTGGCACACAGCAGGAAGTGCTTGGCCGCCACAGTTCTATGGGTCAGTAGTATGAAAGGTGAGGAAAGGGGTTGCTGTCACATAAAATGTAGCATGTCCAAGTAATTTGAATTTCAGATGGGTCACAGCATGTTTCCTTAGTGTAAGTATGTTTTACAAAATGTTGGGACATAATCATACTAAAAATTGTTTCTACAAAGTTTTAATTTATCTGGGCACTCTAGGTTTTTATTTGCTAAATCTGGCAACTCTTGGAGTTGCGGCAGGAGGTCTTATTTGCGGAACCTGCCTGCCAAGCCCCACTCACCCGAGAAGAATTGGCTGATGGAGGTGGGCAGGAGCGTGAGGAAGGCCAGGGGGTGGGCGAAGGAGACGGAGAGGACAGCGGAGATGTAGGCCACACCAGCCACCATGGAGTAGAGGCAGGCGAGGGAGGTGTAGAGGCAGAAGAGGACGAAGTTGCGCATGTTCCTGCGGCCGATGCAGTTCCCGGTGAAGAAACAGTGGTGGTCGTGCCTCAGCGTGACTCGGGCGCATACGCGGCAGAAGTGAGTGCTGGGTGTGGGGCACTGAGCCCGCCTGGCCGACGACCCCTGATAGGCCCCCAGGTCATCCGGTGAGTTCTGGACGACCAGGACATAATTGCCCAGGGCGTTGGCAGAGAGAAACAGGAAGAGCGCTCCGTGCAGCAGGGCTGGTGACAAGAGAGGGGTGGCCGCGGGGTCCTCGCGCATGCTGGGGAGGAACAGGAAGAGCTGCAGGACGAAGGTCACCAGGGAGATGCACAGGAAGTAGGCAGGGGCCACCACGTTGAGCAGCCTCAGGGCCAGCATCCTCGATTACATTCCTAAGGGGAGAGGGAGACTTACGTTACCGCAGGCAGCCAGGGGGCGCCCTCGTACGCTTCTCCCTCCAGGAGGCCGGTCCCGAAGGCTGCAAGCAAATCTACACCCCCAACCGCTGCCTCTCAGATCACCCTTGCCCACTTCCCTGATCTGAGCCAAGCAGGAAAGAGACCCTGAGGCCGCAGCGGACTCCTGCGGCCAGGCCCTACCTCAGGGAGGCCGCTCCCTCAGATTTGGAGCGACCTTGGCGCCCTGGACTTTTGGAGTCAGGTCAAGGAGAGAAGGACTTCTTAGTGGTCTGCAGGGGTTGGGGGTGGGCTGGGCCGAAAGATAGGGCTGCTCTTCTCCTGGTAGTGAAAACGGGCCCTGATTGGGGATTTCTGCTTCAGATCTCCCTGGGAGAAGGAAGCGAAGGACTTGGGGTCAGGGGCAGAGCCATTTGATCTACTGGGAGAGCTCCTTTATTTTCCCCTTCCTCCGTCCCCTAACCCCCATGTCGGGCAATTTCGGAGACCTCACCCGTTCCTCAGGCTCTCTGGAGGGTTGTGTGGGGGGGTCCGTTGGGTGTTTGTGTGTTTCTTTGTGTGTGTGACTCTGTACGTGTAATCTGTGCGCGCTTGGGTAATTGTGTTTGTGCATGTGCGTGTTTGTGTGTACACAAACGCAGCCGCTGCCACCTGGTTTTTTATTTTAAAAGATCAATTAAAATAATCAATACATTCACAGGCGCTCAGGCACCAGGTGGGGCGCGGGCGCAGGCGGAATGCCTGTGCCACCGAGTCCTGCTCAGCCTATCTCTCTGACGCGGGCTGCCCTGGCTGCGTCTTTGCAAACAGCATTTTCCCTGGAGGAGGCGAAATTAAAATCCCCTCTTCGCGCCTGCCTCTCGCCCTCCGGGCGGGAGAAACCCAAACAATCCCCATGGCGCCGAAACCCTTTCGGTGCCACCAGGCTCACGCTGGGAGGACGAGAGGCCGCTCAGCTAGCGTTTCTGGGAATCCGCCTCCCCACTCAGCGCGGCCGCCCCCAACCCCACCGCCCAACTTTGGAAGCCACCGGGCAATAGGATTCTGTGCCCGGACAGAACTTTCCGAGGGCTAAGGAATAGGACAGGCGGAGTCGCCAGGAAAGTTTGGGAAGGCGGCTGCACCCCAGGAGTGGCCCCGGTCCAGGATGTCCCGTCTGGACTGAGGGACTGGTCACCTTGGAACCCTCTTTGCAGGAGATGGTCCTACACCCCGGACCCGCGGCCGCGGCGGGGACCACGGGCCGCTCTCCCCCGCCGGGGTGCAGCGCAGGGCGCGCGGGTGGTTGCGGGGGGCTCGGTACCGCCGGCTATGCGCGCACGAGGCTGCGGCGGCGCTGCTCACCCCGAGAGCCCTCGGTCCCGGGCTCCGGCAAAGCGAGTGTCTTCCCGGCGCCAGTCGCCAGGGGGGCGCGGGAGCAGCCTCCAGATGCTCCGCGGCTTGGGGAAGGAGAAGGGCAGGGGCCCGGAGAGTGAGGGGCGCTCGGAGGGAGGTGGCGGCCGGGCCTGCCCTGGAGGGGGCGGCGGAAAGCGCCCCTGCGGCGGCGGCGGGTTCGAGCTGAGCGGTCCGTGCCGCGCCTCGCCCGCCGCGGAGGGCTCACGGTGGAGCGGGCCAGACAGGCAGCCCGCGGCCGCCAGAGCCTCGGCCACTGCCTCCGACGCCCAGGAAGCCGCTCCCGCCGCCGCCCGCTGCAGAGGGGTGGGGAAAAGAACTCACCGATCTCAGGTCGCCGAGAAGAGGAGCCCCGGACCCCGGCTCTCGCCCTTCCCGCAGCTGCAAAGTTGTAGGCTCGGCCCGGCTTGGCTCGCTGCCTCCTCACGCTTCGCTTCGGGGACTGGGCAGGTAGCGGGGTATAGGGAGGAGGGAGCGGGCAGCTTCGGTCCTCCCACTTGGGTGCCAGCGGAGTGGGGCCTGGGAGGCAGCGGGGATGGCAGCTGCCCACCCCCCACCCCCCCGCGCCCCGCCACCCCTCCCTCCGCTCCTGGGGGCGGTGCTCTGGCCACCGGCTCAGCACTGTGGACTTGCCCCCCCCCCCCACTCCGGCCTCCTTGGCTCCCCTCGAGCGGGTTGGGGCGCCCTGCCCGACTTCAGCCGCAGGTTTCAACTGGGCGATGGGGATTCAGCCCTGATCCAGCCGTCAATCCGTCCTTCCCTCCCTCCCTCCTTCCTCGCTGTGACCAATAACCTTCCCCGCTGCCGGCTTGGACCAAAGGAAACCTGGGGCTCGATGGCTCAGTTTACCAGGGAACACCGTGAAGACCAGCGACGTCTCCTCAGAAGGGCTGTGTACCCAGGGGCCGAGAGACGGGATTGGAGCCTGTCTGCTGGCCTGGGATGTGCAGCATTCGCCACCTGTGCTCCCAGATTCCAGTGTCCTCCTCGGTAGAATAGAGACGTGAGGATTAAATGGCAATAGACATAAAGCTCTTAAACAGAGCCTGCTCGGAGTAAGCCCGATTTGGGTCTTATCATAATTACTGCACTGACACCACCTATCAGGCCTTCCTAGGTACCAGGCATGGTGCTAAGCTTCTGGTTCCCGATGGCTTCATTAAACCCATTAGCAGGATCTGAGACAATGGACCACCCTCATTCGAGGGATGAAAGTCAGTCACCTGTCCAAGGTCATACAGCAGGTGAGTGATGGAGCTGGGCTCTGAGCCTGGTGGCAGCACTACTGCTCCTATTCTCAGCCTCACCCTGCACCAGGAGCAGCTTTGGGTCAGGGGAAGGGAGGGCATGAGTGGGGTACATCCAGACACAGAGCTTGAACCTGGAGCTTCTGCTTGGGGCCCCAACCCACTTACCTGTTCCTCCCTCTGTCCCTCTCCGGAACCCCAACATCCTCAGGTAGGTACTGTGAGAAGGTAGTGACCTCAGTGTGTGCCAAGAGGTGGGGCAGAGAGAGCCTGGGAACACTAAATATTGCATGGCATTGGGGCCTCATAGCCTCAGTTTCCATAGCTCCCCTAACTGCCCTGCTCCACTCTGGGTGAAGGCGAGTATAATACATAAATAATTATTTATTGCCTTCTCAACTGGTTAATTAAAACGAGAGCAATCCCCAGACCCTTGAAGTGAGGGCCATATGCCAATTGGCTCAGCCTCTATTTTTGAATCATCAGCCGCTGGTTTCTCTGTATTTTATGAGCATACATAGAAATAAAAAGGGGGCCAGGAAACCTTTTCACGTTCTGAATGCTCTTACAGGGAAGCGGAAGAACAATCTGCCAGGGGGTGGCCTCCAAAGATCTGGTAGCCCTGTCAGTTCCATTGGCCCCAGGACAGACAGAAGAAAACAAGTGGCCTTTCCCCCTTCAGAGCAGCTTTGTGTTACAGGCATGCCTGTCTGGTCCCCTTCACAAGCCCTGCCTGCCTCTCCTACTGGCTTGGAAGGGCTCAGTTCGGGCCATATTGATTGAAGATCTCCATTCCTTAAATACCTTGAGAGTCGGGTGGTATTTCTAATTTTATTTTGCATATGGGTGTGTGGTGGGAAGGTGTGCGTGTCTGGATTTGTGTGCGTGTGTGTATGTGTGTGTGTGTGTGGCAGAGAGAGAAGCTAAGTGAATGTGGGAAGATGTCAGTGGGGGAAGGGAATAGTCAGCAGGAGAATGGAGATCAGGCCGTGCAGACACAATGGATGAGGACAGTTATTTATTTAGTAATACAGCTTATCAATAGAAAGGGGCCTGAAAGCTGCAGATCTACAGCCACCCCCCTGAAGGAATGGAGTGAGAGGAAGGCCAGCCCAGTCTTTTGTTTTTCTGAAATTGGTGCTTATCTCTTAGAAAATCAGTAAGGAGGTTAGTTGGAAACTTCACTTTGATTCTGGCCCTATCAGAGTTAAGAAGACTAAAACTGGACACTGTATTGCCACTTACTAGCTGCGTGAACTTGAGCGAGTCATTTTCTCTCTGTTGTCTGTATTTTCATCCATAAAATGTGAAATAGTGGTGTTGCTTTGTAGTAATGATGATGAAGTGAGAGATGATTAATTTAAGTTCCTTGGTCCCAGCAGGAGATTGGATAGTGTTCGTTTTCCTCTTATCTTTATCCACAGGACTGTCTTCTCTTCCCAACTAAACTGAGAGCTTCTGGCCTATATTGGAAATATTTTGGGCTCTTCTCTGATTTGCCCTGAGTAAGAGTGTATTGATTAATGGATCAATTTCAGTCTCTCTGAAAGGAAAAGCTCTACCTTGAGGTCTTTGAAATGTCTAGTGTGGATACATTTGCCACTGATCACAGGTCCTGCCACCGCCTACCCTCACTATAGTCTCATTCTCCATAAACAGTGTCAGAAAGTAATTTACAAACCACATTCTGCATTGGTTTAGTCACATGTTCTCCTAGTTAAGCTGTGACTGTACCTGCAGGTGATCTCAAGGGGCAGGGGGCACAGATAAGCATCTGACTGCTGCAAGCACTTTCCCAGAGACTCAAATCTCGCTATTTAGTGGTGCTATTTGAATAAAATGAATTCCTCTTCCAAGTGGTAATCATTCCATTTTGCTACAAAAGGTTGTATGTAAAGAAAGAAACTCCATGGAGCAAGCAGCTTCTCTCTTAGGCAGGGAGCTCGCTGCCCCTGTGTGGGTTGGGCCCTACAACTCCTCAAATGTTTGGATGGAGAATGTTTCAAGATGAAAGGGGCTGCAGTGAAGAAGGAGGATGGGGGTATTTCATTTTCCTGCGCTTGTTTCAGACCAAAGAGGGTGAATACAGGCTGAGGTCTCAGGGTTAACTGCTTGGTGCTCTGAAATTAAGATTGTAATAGACATCCTCAGACAGGATGCTCTTTACTGTCAACAGCAAATCATAGCCAGGGGCAACCACAAAATACTCTCCAAGCCTCAGAAGGCTTAATAAGACTCCATCCCCAGCTGCTCAGATTTGGAAAACATGTAAGTGTAACCTTCATTTTAGCTGATCAAATGCAAGACAATTGGATTATCACAGAATTTCTATTTGGTGGTGGTAATTTACTTTGCCAACTCTGCCTTCATATTAACAACAATTACATTACTCTGATGTGATAAGGTGCTTTGCAGGTTACACAGTTCCTCCACAGAATTAAAATTTCATTCCATGAGTCTCTCAACAGCCTGTAAGCCGGCTGGAACAAGAAGTATTAAACCCATTTTTCTTATGAGGACACTGAGTGTCAGAGGTTTGCTGCATGTTAATTTGCAAGCTTTGCCTGGATCTGCTTTAGAATGTGCTTTGATGTGCAGAGGTCTCATTGATACTTAACTTTTTCTGGAACATGACATTTGCTAAAGGAAACAGGTATACTTCCCCAGAGTAAAAGATCTGTGTGATCTCCCTTTCTCTAAAGCTCCTCTACTCTTTACTTTGTGTCCCACCCTCTCTGCATCATTTGTCTCCAACATCACTTGGCACTATCAAACATAGTATATATTTATCTGGTTACATACTAGGTGCTCAATAAACATTGGTTGAATGAAATAATATACAAGGAGAAGTAAACATGTAAACCTACCTCATGTTAATCAAATGCCCTCAAGTTCTCTGCTGTTTGTGCTGCTGGAGGGGGTGTGTGTAATTGCAAAAAGGATGTTCAGCATCCAGGCCCACATGTCAAGGTAGAAACAGCAGGTGTGAATGTCACCCTGTGGGGGACAGGCAACCCCAGTGGTCTCCCTGGTGATTAATGCACCAGGGTAGAAATCTTGGCTCAGCTTGGAGGAGCCCCCTTTGTAGTGCTTGGGCAGTGGAAGAACGAATGTAATCTTTCCCCATTTAGCCACGGTTTCCAGGGACCACTTAGGTGCCCTGGTAGGTATGCCGATGCCCGAGCGAGGACCCGCGTGCAGCCATGCGGTGGTGGCAGCAGCAAGATTAATTGGTCCTTTCATCTTAGGAGCATGCAGGAGGCAGAGGAGGGAGAAGGAGGGGTTACAGGGAGGGAGGCGAGGAGGGAAGGAGAAGGCACAGGGGAGAGAAGAAAAGAGGAAGGGGAAGGGGGATGGCGAGAAAGTGCCCTGGGCTGTGCATCTGCCTACCTCAGGAGGGCAGGGACATCAGCTGTCTCTGCTGAGAGCCCGGCAGTGCCAGGTGTCCAGGATGGCAGGGAATGGAGCAGAAGGTTGACATCTCCATTAGAGGAGGGCGGGAGACCAGGGCAGTGCAGTCCCCGCAGTGCCCATGGCTGTTAGAGGCCTCTGGGGAATGTTGGTCACAGAGCAGCAGCCCACACAGACCTCACAGCCCAGCCCCTCCTGGTTCCCTCCGCCTGCCCAGCAAGATGGCCCGGGGCCCAGGAGAGAGGTAGGGTGGTGTCACGCAAGGAGCCTGAGCTGTCGGGTGTCCACTGACCTGGGCTTGAATCTCTGTTCCCATTCACTGGCTGTGTAACCTCGAGCAAGTTCCTTAGCCTTTCTAAGCCTCAAATTCTCTCTCCACTAAATGGGATTTTTGCCAGCTTGCTGAGTTCACCATGTGTTTTCGGTTGCAAAGGTGTCGCCTCCATAGCACTTGCCCTTTCCACCTGTCATGGCCCCCAGCTGCCACTGACACAGAATCCTGCCTGCAGCATGGCGCTTGCCACCCCGAGATCATCTTGTCTGAATGCTCATTTATGCAGTCATTGCCTCTTTCCCTCTGTGTGCTCCCAAGGGCAGGGATTTACCTGGCAGCCTTTTTTCTGTAGCCTATACGCAACACAGAGTCTGACACACTGGGACCTCATTAAATATTTGAGTACATAGATTATAAATAAATAATAAATTCTACCTCAATACCTGACCTTTAAAAAAGCAGGCTTGGGGAGCAATGCATAAACAGAATTCAGTGAAAGATCCCTACTCCCTGGCTCCTATGATGTGCCAGGTACTGGGAGGCCAGGCGTCTACACACGGGTGAGACCCTGCCGATTTTCTAGAAGGGGAAAATGGAGGCTCAGAGGGGTTAGAAAATCTGCTAAGATTGCAGAGCTTGCTGACAACAGATGTAAAATCCAGGTCACTTGATTTCAAGTCCTCACACAATGTGGCCCATGTCTCTCACACGTCGTCTTTCACCCCAGCATAGGAACAAATAACCTATTTTCCATATGGGGAGGTAACATACTATGCTGGTGTTGACCTCTCACACTTCAGTGTGCATTCGCCAGCCAGAGCCTCTTCTTAGTTTTTTTTTTTTTTTTTTGAAACAAGGTCTCATATTTTCCAGACTGCCCTTGAACTCACTATGTAGTGCAGGCTAGACTTGAATTTGTGGCAATCTTCCTGCCTCAATCTCCTGAGTTCTGGGATGACAGATGTGCACCACCGTGCCTGGAAGTCACAACCTTTTCCCAGTGAAACAAAGTATGGTCAAGTGAGCTTTGTAGGGGAGATGAAGAGCAGAATGGTGTAGGGGAGAAGGCTTAAATAGTTTTGCAGTAGGAGATGAAAGGAGAGATAGGAGGAGCAAAGGAGTCAAAAGAAAGAGTCCAAAGAGCATTTAAAGACAGATTATTAAGCGCAAGGTCCTGAGTTCGATCCCTGGTACCAAATAAATAAATAAATAAATAAAGACAGGTTATGGGGCCCAGTGGCCTAATGTAGATTTCTGCTCTGCCAGTCAACCTTTGTGCAATCTGGAGCAAGCCAGTCATCTTAGTCCATTTTCTGTTGCTATAACAAAATACCCAAGAGCCAGTGGTTTATAAAGAATAGAGGTTCATTTTCACAGTTCTAGATGCAGGCATCTGGTGAGCACTTCTTGCTACACTGTAGTATATCTGAGGTGTCACACAGGAGACAGGGAAAGTGTGCCAGAGAGGACTTACTTTTACAGCAAATCTGGTCCCCAGTGAACCCACTGATCCATGGATGGATTAATCTCTCATGATCCAATCACCTTCCAAAAACTGCATCTCAACACTGCTGCACTGGGGACCAGTTAACTTCACTGTGTCTGCTTCCTGATGTGTAGAACAGGGTTGGTTACAGTCTCAAACTCATGGAGTTGTCATGTAGACTAAACAAGATAGCATAGGTAAAAGATGTAAAGAGGAGCTGGCGTCATGAGCTCTAAATGAGTGACAGCTACTGTAATTACTTATGATTATGTTTTACAGCATGTAACAGAACCCAAGAAAACATTGGTTTAAACTCTGATGGAAGGTTTTTTTTTTAACTCACATTAAAAAAAAAGTTTAAGAGAGCTGATCTAGGACTGGTGCTCAGGCTCTATGATTGTGTGAGACCCAAATTCTTTCTATCTTGTTGCTCTATCATTCCAAGCATGTTGCCTCTTGGTCCAGAATGGTTGCTCCTGTGCCAGTCATCATGTGCATGTTCCTGCCAGCAAAAAGAAAAAGAGGAAGGAAGGTTTCTCTCTTTAAGGACATTTCCTGGAAATTGGCCTTAACATATGGATTTATCTCTCATTGGCCAGAACTTAGTCCCATGGCTACAGGTCAAACTACAGGTCACTATGTAACCAACTAACATTCGTGAGGGGCATTGAGAAAGAGGAAGGAAATGGATTTGGTGGACAGCCTTGTAGCTTTGCACCTCAGGTGTGAAGCATGTTTTTCTGGCATTCCTGTCTCTGAGAGTCCACTTCTGCATTGGTCAAAGGGGACTGGCTCCTGCTCTCTGCCCTGTCTGCCCTCCCACTGGCCTTTGCCTTCTGCTTGGCCCAGGAAAGGCAGCTTCATCCTGTCAAGGCCATGACCCTTGTGAACGTAGACAGGAGCACAGGAAGCAGCTCTGGTCAGCGTCCCCAACCACCTGGACTCTAGATAAGATTGAAACCTGGACCTGGGTGAAGGAGAACAGGGAGACAGAAAATACAGACTCCAAATATGTTTTTAGTTTTTAAAATCATAGGAGTAAGAGCTGGGGATTTAGCTCAGTGGTTCTGGCGTCTGCCTCACAAGCACAAGGTCTCAAGTTCGATCCCTGGGACCAGAAAAAAAAAATCGTAGGAGTAATATATATTGGAAGAAAATACAAAAGAAGTTTTAAAATTAAAAGCAAAGCAGAAATCTTTTAAGCCTATACCCAGAGATAGACATCATTAACATTTCGTGTGCATCTTTTAATCTTTAATTTATTCAGAGTTTTTCCTCTTAATTACAAATTTAGGCTCATCTCTTTGACTGCTTTTATAACCAGCTGTTAAAACTCAGTAATACCCAGACAACCTTTCCATTTTGCTCATACATTTCTGCAACATAACTTTAAATGGACAGCTAGGATACTTCCTTCCCTCTTACAGAATTGAGGACCATGATATGGCTTGGATCTTAGCACCTGGTCAAAATATAGTTTCTGGTTTCATCTTCAGTTTTGGCCTCTGAAGGGACAGATAGCAGGTTTGAACTTCAGCATCAGCTCTGGTTCCCTGGACCCAGGTATGATCAGGGACACTGTGACCCTACCCTGGCTGGTGGCCTTTGTGTGCAGTAGGTGTAGTGATCTTCTTTATGCACACGTGTTAATAATCACTTCACTTGCAACAAATACGTTCTCCAGTTCTAGCAGTCCGCTAAGGTATAAATGTATCTTCACTGTTGTATAAGTAAAGTGTAATCACTCATAGTCTGTCTTTATATACAGAAGAAGTTATTAAGAGCTCTTAAGTGTTTAAATATAGAATGAAACACACTGATAGCTAGTAATAAATATTGAGAAAGCATGTCAGCTAGATACTTTTAGAAGATACTATATGAGGCAAAAATGAAACATTAAAATAATACTATGAGGCATGATTATAGATATTACATTATATCATAGTTTTATCCTTGGAGAATTGTTTGGGATAATAACATTCATAACACAAAGTAGCTTTCCAAATTGTATTCAATTCACAGCTACTTTTATTCTATTTAAACCATAATTTTTTTAAACAGCCAATTGGTAATTCTTTACATTTTGTAAAGATAAAAGAAAAACATGTCAACTTAACCAACTTAAGAATTTCAAGAGGAAGAAAAACTCCTAAAAGTCACATATGATGTATGATAAAAATATGGTGAATACATAAAGCACATTGCCATTAATTCCCCTCAGAATACTCCTCCTCTTTGGAACACACTTCTCCCATCATTTTTGCCACTGTCTGAAGCAGTTCTGAAAGTCTTCTTTTGTGAGTGTCTTTATTTGCACTGTTGTGGCTGTCCCTCAATCTCTTGAATTGGTTCAAAACATTTACCTTTCATGATCATTTTGACTTTGGGGAAGAACCAGAAACCTCACGGTGCTAGATCTGACAAGTAAGGTGGATGAGGACACACTGCAATGTTTTTATTTGCCAGAAGTTGCTGTAAACATTTTTAATTAGTTCAGGACATTGAGGCAGGCACACACACGCACTCACACACAAAAAAACACTCACAAAAGAAGACTTCTAGAACTGCTTCAGAAAGTGGCAAGAATAATAGAATAAGTGTGTTCAAAGTGAGGGGGACTAATGACAATGTGTCTTTTCTGTAATAATTTTTTATTTAAACATTGACTATAGTTTTTGATCAATATTTCTGTGGCAAATCATATTTAACCCAACATGGGAAAGAATATACAGAATATGGAGAAAAGAAGAAAGTATTGGGAAAAAATGAGGCCGTCACACTCTCCCACAAGCATCAGTCAATGTAAGCATCAATTTATTAACACAAATGTGCACAGTATTTAACATAGAAACAATCCATCTTCTGCTAATACTGAGAAAATGCTGTTCTTGAGCTGTAACGTTAGACTGTCAAACACTGGCAGTGAAACATGTCGATTAGGATGTTGGCACTGCAAAGTCTGATAACATTTTCTTGAAATTCACTCCTTTACCAAAGACACTGGCTGCATGAAGATGGTGGAAAGCGTTGGCCTTGGCTTCTGCTGAGTACTGATCTTAGCACTTGACCATTTGGCATCCAGCCAAGATGTGTATTGAATGTGTCTCTAACTTTAGATTATTTCCAGTTTCTCACTATTATTAGCAACATTGCAATGAATGTCCTAGCACAACACTCTGAGGGGCCTGTGACTATTTCCTTAGCTGAATTCCTAGAAATGAAATGGCTGGGTCAAAAGGATCCTGTTGCCTACCTACCCACTGGAAAGTGTGTACCAACTTCCCTCCCATAGGAGGAGCGAGATGGAGTGAGCTCAATCCTGCCTCCTCATCAGTTTTAGGACCTGCAATTTCAAGTGCTCATGCCAATTGTGGTAGGCAGTTTGATGGCAGAGAATAGAATCCTTCAGCTGGCTCCAGACGCCCCCTGGGTCCCAGAGCTGAGATTGCATCTCTAATTTATTTTGTGTTTAGCTTGTTTCCAGCATGGTTGGAGGCCTTTTAGTTACTTCTTGCATTACCTAAATGGCTACAAAGTAAATATGACTGGCTTCATTTCATGGATGAAGAAACTAAAACTCTATGGGTCTGTGGCCTTGCTTTGAGCCAGAAATGGAGGTGTCCAGAGGCTTGGCCACACAGTAGTCTGGAAGCCTCTTCCTGCAGGTAAAGGAAACTTGCAACTGTTCTCTCTCCCTGGGAATCAAAGGGACCCTGAACTCACCTAGCCAGCTTCAGATCCAGCCAGGACTAGAGGAAAAGGAGAAAAGCCAGTGCCCAGGCACTCACTGTGCTCTGGGCTCAGCTTCACACTGAGAACTTTATATTCATGCATTTGTGCCACAGTTTCCTGATTGTTTCTGAGGGAAGATGTGCCAGAGCCTGTCTTCCCTTTGGCCACCCATGCATGCATGTGTGTAACTCAGATCTAATGGTGCTGGCAGTAGGTCCAGGGTCAGCCACTGGCTTCTAGGACTTTACATATATTATCTCACTTAAGTCTCATTCACAGTGCCAGCTGGGTTATTATCCCTTCATACTGAAGAGTAGACAGTAGCCTAAGAAAATGTCCAAGTACGCACAGCTAGTAATTGGTGAAAAATTCAGATAGGTACCTGGCCCAGCGTAGGTGTCTGGGATGTGTGCCTGGAGTGGGTGGAAGGATGCATGGATTCTACTGGGTCTCATGGTGAAACTAGGGCAGGCAGATGGCTGTAGCACCTCTGGATGAGCCAGGGACTCTCATGCAAGAAGGAAGCAGACAGGACTGGAGCCTCCATGGTGATGGGTCTTTTTTTTTTTTTTTTTTCATGCTCTCAAGTGAGAAAAGGTGCATCTAGGGCTGCTCCACATGTTGTTCAGGTTCTACACTGTATGATTCTAGGGAGGCTTCTTTTTTTTTCCCCATTTACCACAAATTTGAATGATTATTATGACAAATTTCCAGTAGATGGCAGTAAAGCAACTCGAGTTTCTGTTCCTTGTTCTGTTTGTGCAAATGCACTGTTTGGGCTATCACCAGTGCTGGTCGAATCTGTCTCCCAGACCTCCAAGCTGCTGAGGGATTGCCTGACAGCTTTCCCCTCCCTTGTCCCACCCCTTCAGCACCTCAGGACGTCACAAACCTGACCCAGGGCCTCCGTGTTGGGATGAGCAGTTGGGAAAAGGGTGCCTTTGTGTAAGAATCTCATGTGCAGCCTTTGTTTCAGGTAGGTGAAGTTTTTCATTCAAAACCCGGGGTTCAAGTTCCTGCTCCTGCACTTCCTCGTGGCTGATCCTGAGCAAGCAGTTTCCAAGTTCCGGGTCCTTGCTTTCTCCTCTGAAGATTGCAGTCATAGCCCCTGTTGTTGGAGTTGTGAGGAGCCAGTGCTACCCTGAGCATGACCATGTGTCGCAAGCTTTGAATCACCTTGTCCCAGAGGGACATCCTCCACTGAGAAAACTCAGAGCTGCACAGTTGGTCTGAGAGGCTGAGCTGCACTGTGGAGGGAGTGCTGGTTACAGGATATCACATAATTAGCCCGCAAAGGTTTATTGAGCACCTACTGTATGCTATGCATTGTGCTGGTCTCTACCCTCAAATTACCTGTAATCCCCCGGGGCCAGAGTAGTTAACATGGTTGCTGTTTTGTTTGTTTTGTTTTTTTGCTTCTAGGGATGGAACCTGGGACTTTCAGCAGGCTAAGCACACATTCTGCCTCTGAACTACACCCAAGCCCTGCATCTCATTTCAGGATCACACTCATCCCATTCCTCTGGGACTGGAGGAAAAGAGGCTTTGCCTCCCCCTTCCTAGCTCCTAGGCCCCTTCCTGACTGAGCACTCCCCAAGGACAGGGAGGGGGAAAAGCTTAGCAGGCTCTCCCCTACCCTCATCCTGGAGGAGCTGGCTCATGGCTTTCACTTGGGGTTCGATGGCTGGGAAGGGACAGGATACCTAAGGAGATAGTGGCTTGCCTAAGATAGTATGTGTCTCCTCTCATGTAATGGAAGCCCCAGAGTTAATATGGCCACTCTACATTGTCAAGAGGGACCCAGGCTCTCCCTAGCTCCCTGTTCCCTGAAACCTCAGTTGTCCTTCTTGTTCTCATGTTGAAGCAGCAGCACAGGGCTGGTCCTTCATGATATTAGGACTCAGCCCCCTTGTATATAATTTACCTACCATTCTCTAGTATGTACCTTTCAATTCATGGTCCAAACAGGCTGCTCAGGGCCAGGGATTTAGCTCAGTGGTTTCGCCTCCTGCTGCGCAAGTGCAAGGACCCAAGTTCGATCCCTGGTACCAAAAGAAAAACAAACCCAGGCTGCTCAGTGGCTAGCCATCAAGTCACCATCTCATCAGCAGAATGGGGGAAAGAAGGCATGAGCAAAGGCATATCTCTGTCCCCTAGGGCACTCTTTGGAACTTACTCATACTTCCATTTGGCTCCCATTTCCTGGGACATAGTCACGTGAGCAAATCTACATGCAAAGATGATTAGGAGATAAGTCTTTATTCCAGGTGGCTCTTTGCCTAGTTAAAACTCGAGTCCAATTCCTAGGGAAGAAGAGGAGAGTGGCTATTAATGAACCATGAGAATCCTCTACCACATCTTGGCTATGAAGTACCATCTCCAGGCTATAGGGAACGTCTCTACCCCACAGGCTCCCTGGCATAAAATAATCAGGACAATAATCCCAAAGTCATAACATCACAGAACAAGAATTACACTAATTCAGTAATGGAGTAATTTCCTCTCTCCACATAAATGACATTTGTGTTCTGTTGTCATTGCCAACATTCAATCCGGCAAACCCCAAGCTCTCAGCCGCCCACAGACCCTGCCAGTCCCTGTAGGGCACCACCAACTCCGGCCCTGAGATGATGTCCTGCCCCCATGGCTGCCTGTTCCCTCTAGAGTGGAGCCTGGCTCAAGTGAAGGTGACGGGGGTGGGGACTGAGGGGGAGGCCATGACAGCAGCAGATGCTCGGCAGGGATGGCTGTGGTTGCCTTGGTGAGCTGGACAAAGAGACTTCTATGGTGTGGCTAAATGTGTCATCCTGACTGCCAGCATCTTCTACGAACTCAGAAGACACCCTTGGAGGCTGAGGCTCCTCAGTCCCACCTTGTTCCCTGGGCCCCCTTTTAAATACTCAGGTTCCTGAGGGCTGCCCAGTGGTTGGCACCGTCACTCAGCTCTAGAGGTGGCAGCCTGGGACTGGAAGCAGCTTTCTGACTCTAAAGCCACAACACCTTCATGAGCTGCCCATCCCAGGTAGGATGCTGGCAGCTGGAGGAGTTCCCATCAGGCTGTCAGATGGCAGGGAGATGTCGGGGCCAAGAGAGCATGCCCAGCACTCACTGTCCCCCCTCTTTCCAGGGACAAGTGTGGAGCAGGGAGAGAAATCTGCTCCTGCTGGAAATGTCACCCGCAAGCCAGGACCCTGGCCTGTGGCCTGGGTGGTGACCAGAGATGCAGGGCTGCAGACACCACTGCTCTCAGTGCCCCAGTGGCTGCCTCATCAGCCTAAAACCTGATCTCCAGGACACTGCTCTGCCCTCTCTGTCTCTCAAACCTAGCAGAAGCTCCCTCACCTTTGCTCAGCAGACGAGGCTGCCTCTCCACACCTGAAGTTCCCCCAGGGCTCCCCGGGCTCTGGCCTGCTCTGCCCCAGCACCTCCATCCACCACCACCTCTTGGTCCCAGGGCTGCTGGAGCAGGGTAGTGCTGGGATATCCCAGGGACCCTCAAAGGGTCAAGTGCCTTCCCCCTCACAGGGCTGGCTCAGCAGGGCAGCAGCCTGTCTGGGCAGCCTGTTCATGTTTCCCCACACTCCTTGCCCTCCTCCTTGGCTGCACTCAGCAATCTAGGAAGGAGAGAAGGGGTCAGGGTGGGGGGACGGTTAGGGTAAGGCTGTCATGGTCCACCTCCTGGAAACAGGCCCGGGGCCCAGGATATTGTGCAAGTTTATATGCATGCACTTGCTCCTACATAAACACATATTCGCCTGTCCACACTGGTATTTATCAAGCTTGTGCACACATGTAACACACTCACGTGCATACCCTAGTCCAGAGTCTGCTAGGCTGTCCTCTCTCAGGGTTTGGAGTCTGAACTCTGAAGTCAGATAACCACGGTGTTTTCTTTATGTAGTATATTATGGTTTTTAAGCAATTGATTCTCATTTCCAGAAGGCACCATCTGAGATTTGAACCACACAAAGGTGCCATGAGTGCAGTGTCTTCTTCCTGTCCCCATGGCCAATGTCTATTTCCCTCTTCAGGGACAACATTGCCAATACCTCCTCCCATCACCTAGACCGGGTCTGCTTGTCCCTGGCTAGCCTGGGTCCTTGCTTAGAGATAATGGAAATTAAAACTGAGGCAATAGCATGAATCTTCGGGCAAAGCTTTAACTGGAAAGGAAGAGAAAATAAGGAGGGACTGAAGGGGGACAGCCCTGGAAAATCAGACTGGCCCCTTAACAAAGGAAAAGGCACCAGGTCTTAAGGGGTTGCTGTGGTGGGCTAGGGTCTGGTCGATCATTCTCTCAGCTCCAGTTTCACAGCTCCAGGGCTTTTATAGCTTGAGAAGACAACCCCATCTCTATGAGATAGGAAGTTCCTGCTTTGGAGGGCAGAAGTGTCAGTTTTGCAGAGGCTCTGGTAGAATACAAGATGACTTGGGGTTTAGGTGCCCATTCCTGGGAGTCCAAACTGGTACTTGAATCTCCGTGAATCTCTTACCTTGATGCCCTCAATCTTGAAGAAGGATGAGATAGGTTATGTAAATGAAGGGCTAATCAACCTTGTATCAGCAGTGTTTAGATGGACACCCCTTAAATAATGAACATGCTTGTAGGCAGAGCTGAGTGGGGGAGTCTCACCCAAAGTCTAAGGCAATAAAGGAAACATGCAAAATGAAGGCCAAACTTAGTGCCACTTTTAGTTATCCATTTGGCATCTTGTGGGCCTAAGCAATAAGTCCCCCCGCCCAAAAAAAACCCAGCTTATAAGTCCCTGAGTATCCCAGAAGAAAGCACAAATTATGCTTTTAATAAGTAACAGGTTGAAAGCCAGCTAGTTTATCCTCTGTCCTGGGACAATCCCCAACAGGTTTATTTTCTCATCTAGCTTACTCTTAGAGACACTATGGTGAGGACATAGTTCATGTGTGTGTGTGTGTGTGTGTGTGTGTGCACGCATGGATATGATGTGTGTTTGTTGAACCCAGGCCCTTCACACTGAGCTACATCCTCAGCCCTTTTAAAATTTTGAAAGAATGTTGTTAAATCACTAAATCACCCAGGCTGGGCTTGAACTTGGGATCCTCCTGCCTCAGCCTCCCAGAGTGCTGGGACTACAGGTGTGCACCTCCACAGCAGGTTTAGGACACCCTGGTTTTTATAAAGCACCTGTTTTTTGAGGCCAGGAAGATTGTCTGGGGGATTGAGAGGGTAGGAAAGAATATATACCATAGGTCCTGAGTTAAGGTCCTGGAGCATACCTGCCCCTGTTCCCATAGTGGCCTCTCTGGCCGTGAGCAAGCTGCATGAGATGCACACACACACGCCCAGCCTTCTGCTCTCCTGCCCAGTGTTCCTCCCCATGACCGCCCCATACTCACGTGCACAGACAGCGCCTAGCCTCTCCAGTGGCTGCTGGGGGTCCTGCCCTGCAGATGCACAGTGATTTACAGGAAGCATCTTTCCGGATGAGCACAGGTTGTTTCTAGCTGTTTCTCTTCATTGCTGCTGCTGCAGTCCTTTAGTGAGTGTCCGTGCTGGTAACTTTAGCCCTGGGGACAGACCTATCCCTCAGTAGAGGGCACAAATGGGGGGTGGCCTGGTGGTGCTCCTTTTCTGAATCTGTGGATGAGGACAGTCAGAGTGCGTCCTCACTGGGCAGTGGTGAACGAGGTCCTGTGAGGATCCCCATGCATAGAGAAGCAGCTGGAAGGGGCCAGGGTGAGAGCTGAGGGAGGGTCTGAGGCAGCCCCACCCCAGGATGGCTTCCGGCTTTGTGACTGGCATCAGGGAGTCAGGCCTGTGGGCCAGCTGTGTGGGTGCTGCAGGGATAAGAAGCAGGACAAGGCCGAGGACGGGTGGCAGATGCATGGAGCTGGCAGAATGGAGCAGGCTTGGCTGTGTTGCTGAGTCATTCCCACCAGAGCCTCGGAGAGGGGTAGGCGCGGTGCGCGCGCGCACACACACACACACACTCACACACCGCAGATCTCTAGGGAAAAGGAGCCCTTTCTAGCAGAGAGGCTTTGTCCCCACACACGCGTAAAAGCCAGGCAGACAAAGGATAGCAGCTCCTGGCCAGTCCCTCAGCTGCCATTTTCCCCACCCCCTTTCTCACCTCCCCCTGTTGCCACGGCCTTCTCCTTCCCTAGACTGTCCCCAGGGTGACCCCAGGATGACCCAAGATGATGGACCCCTATTTTCCCCTCCCTGTTCACCTTCATTTGCACCTGGCTCCTGGCCCTGGGGCTCCCACCTCAGGGCTCCACTGTCCGGCTCTGGGGTGGTACCCGAGGGAACGGACTTTGAAGAGGTCTGGCCCATGCAGAGGTGAGATCCAGGGAAGGCTGGGTGGAGAATGCCACGTTTTCTTTCAGTACAACCACTTTTCGTCTTAGTACAAAATCTTGACGCTCGGCTGTGTTTCTATTCACAGGTCCTGCCTTATGAGAAAGTCTGAGTTGGACAGGATTTAAGCAAGAAATGATTTGCTTTGTCTCTAGGCACAGCCTTTGACTACACTTTGTTGGAGCCCCTCTTCTGTCCCTGGATGATATTCCTGGGAGATTCATTAGCCTTCTGGTTCTCTTCAGTTATTAAACATCCAGGCTAGTCCAGTTTAAAGAACAAGTTAAACACCATATGCAAGTGTAGCTGCAGGGCAGCTGCGGGGACTCCTCTTCCTCCCTCCCCCTCAGCTCTTTCCTTTCCAGGAGGTAGGGGTGGGAACAGGAAGGGAGCCCTCACGCAGGCCTGGCTCTGGGACAAGCTTCTAACGGGGTTCAGGGTCAAGTTGCAGGGGAGAGGGCAACTCTGCATAGATTTCTCCCACCACCCTCTCAGCTTGAACACCTGGAAGCCCACCCCTGAAATCCCTCCCCTGCACCTCCCATGTTTACCGGACTCCCAGGAAACCCCCCATACTCCTCTCAGGCCACACAAGGTGGGGCACGCAGGCCCCTCCACCACCCCAGCCACGCCCAGTGCCTCTGTCCTTCCTCCTCACTCCTGCCTCCTTCAGCCATGGGACGCTGTCTTTCCCCTCACAGGGACTACCGTCTCTGGGAGCAAGTCTCACAGCCCACCTCCTCCCAGAAAGGGGAAGGCAGAGCCAGAGGACTCCTGCCCCACCAAGAAGGAGGGGAGCTACAGGGGAGCCCCCGGAGCAGGTGCATAGGGTCCCGTGCCCAGAAGCACTTCGGAACCTCGCGCTTGAGAGGCAGGCACCAGAACCAGAGCTAAATCCCCAGCCCCATAACTTCTATTTCTTTGTTGATACTGACTACTTGTGAGACATCACTCTCATGGTTTCCTTTAGGTCTTTGTATATTGTTTCTTTACATTATTTGAGCATATTTTAAATAGTTAATTTAAAGTCTTTTAAAAGGAAATCCAAGCCAGATGTTGTGGTGTACATCTGCAATCCCAACACGCTGGGAAGACTCAAAAGTTTGAGCCCAGCCTGAGCAACTTAGTGGTTTAATGAGACCTTGTCTTAAAAAAAAAAAGGCTGGGATGTAGCTTAGTGTGAAGGCCCTGCATTCAATCTCTAATACCACAAAATAAGTAGTCAATGTTTGGGATTCTTCGGGGACAATTTTTATTCACGGCCATTTTTCTTACCTATGAGCCATATTTTCTTATTTTCTTTCTTGCCTTATAATGTTTTGTGAGAAACTGGATGTTTTAATATTATGATGTGGTAGTGCTAGAAGTCATTCTTGTTTTCCTGAGTTTATTGTTTCTTTTTGTTGTAGTTGTCTTTATGGTTTGTTTAGTACCTTTTCTTTTTTTTTTTTTTTTTAATTTTTAGTACCGGGGATCAAACTCGGGTCCTTGTGCTTGCTCAGCAGGCGGCGAAACCACTGAGCTAAATCCCCGGCCCTTGTTTAGTACCTTTTCTGAACTAATTTCTGAGCTATGTATTTTTATTGTTGTTGTCTATGGCCACTGACACCTGTATTCTCTTAGCCTTGTGATCAGCTAGTGATTGAACAGAGATTTCCTTTAATATAAGCAACAAAAATCTGCTAGTCTTTGCAGACAGGCTGTGCTTGTGTGCGTGTGTGCGTGTGTGTGTGTGTGTGTGTGTGTGTAGCACTACAGGATGCCTTCTGAACTCATCTAGGTAGCTTATGACTCTGCCCTGGTCTCCAGTTTCTTCTTTTTTAAAAATTTATTTTGTTTTTATTTTAATGTAATACAAATAGCTATTAATAAAGAAAATATAAAGCCATTCTATGAAAAAATAAATTTTCATAACCAAAATAATTAGAGAATAACAATGGTAAATACACTGTGTATCATGATCTTAAAAGAATATATTTTCATTTGCTAATCTATCTCTCAACTCATTTCCTAATAATACTATATTTTTGCATCATACCACAGCGATATATGCATACCCATGTTTGTAGCAGCATAGTTTGTAATAGCTAAATCTTGGAAACAACCCAAATGCCCATCAACAGATGAATGGATAAAAATGACATTTCTTTTTTTATATATATAATGGAGTACTACTCAGCGATAAAGCATAAACCCGAAACTTTTCTAGGTAAATGGACATACCTTGAGACCATACTCTTACGTGAAATAAATCAAACACACATATTTAAATATCGCATTGTCTCTCTGGTGTGAGAAACTGGAAGTGTAAATAAGAACCAAAATATATAATAGATATTATGAAATAGGAAGAAATTGTTCAAAATTATACCGAATGTGAGACACTTTGTTAGTAATTAAAATGTTTAATCCAGTTTCTTCTTGTACAGAGACTGAAGTTGTGTAGGGTTGAGGGCTCAGGGCCTTCTTGGGTCCTTTCTGAGCATGATCCTAGCCCTGGGCATGGACTTGCCCTCTAGATTCCCAGGGGTACATTAGAGCTTTTCAAAACCCTTATTTCAAATAGAACTTCACAAAATAGGAGAGGAGGGATCTTCCTTGAAAGGGTTTCTGGATGCACCAATAACATCAAAACCATTTAGCAGATCACTTAGCTCATGGTCAGCGAGTATGCTGAGGCAGAACACTGACGCCTCAGAAGCAGCTGCCGTGTCATGGTGACAGCGATCAAAATAGTTAAAGTGAGGAAGCCAGCCTTAGGAAGGGGAGAAAACTCTTTTCCTAGTGTTGCTTCCAAATCATGCATTTCTTATGGGACTGGGGTATGAAGGGGGGAGCTGCAGAAAGAGGTGCACTGAAACCATCTGCAAGCAACCTGTCCCTTCCCACAGCTGCAGCTTGCTCAGGCAGTAGCCATAGTGGAGAAAAATTTCAGCAATGGTGTGTATGTGTGTGTGTGAGTATCATTGCTGCAAATGGTTTTCAATGCTATAATGTTATTCAGGCTTCATACAAAATAATATAGACATTTTATTCCCTTTTTCATGCTCTGGAACAGTTTAAATAACACTGGCATCATCTGACTCACTCATATAATTTCTCTAGTTAAATGATTTCTTGCTTTACTATCATTTAGCCATCTACTGGCTCCAAATGCCTCAGATAAAAGGAGTTTTATAATTTGTGAGAAAAAACTTTGGGGGTTACTGAAGATTGAACCCAGAACCTTTAAACATCCCTAGCCGTTTTTAATTTTTTAAATTTATTTTATTTTATTTATTTATTTTTGGTATGGGGATCGAACTCTGGACATTGCGCTTGAGAGGCAGGTGGTGGTACCACTGGGCTAAATCCCCAACCCTCTAGCCCTTTTTAAAAATTTTATTTTATATTTTGAGAAAGAGTCTCACTAAGTTGCTAAGTTGCCCAGGCTGGATTTGAATTTGTGATCCTCCTGCCTCAGCATCCTAGAGTGCTGGAATTACAGGCATACACCACATGACCAGCTAATTTCTAAATTTTTATACTATCCTGATAATCATAAGAGTATTAAAATGTTTTTAAAATTTTTAAAATTATTTTATTTTTTTAAAAAATCTTATTAAATAGAGGAAATAAACAAGAATGTGCACATGTCATTATGAAAAATTCAGTGCATTATAATAAAAACAATAAAAGAAGAAACTTAAAGGCTAAATGTTTACAGGGAACTGGCTAAAGAAATAATGGGATTTTTCTACACAATACAATACTATTTGCCTATTAAAATTATTCCGGGCAAGGAGGAATAAGACTTTTATTTTTTAAATTCATTCGCGAATTATCTGAAGATTTCACACAAGGAAATTGTTACTGTTATGATAAATAATATATAATTTAAAAAAATTTTTGAGACAGGGTCTTGCTATGTAGTTCAGTCTTGTCTTGAACTCACTATGTAGCCCAGACTGGCCTCAAACTCACCTCAATCCTCCTGCCTCAGCCTCCCAAATGTTGGGATTACAGGCATGTACCACCACACCTGGCGATTCCTAAATTTAAAAACTTTATTTTGAAAACCATCTCATTTCCCAGCCTACCTGTAAAGCTTTTTGATCAAGCTACTGTTTTCACCAAATGTTTCTGACACATGTACACCTCTACCAGTATCAACCTCACCCGGAGACAGTTCCCAGTGAAGTGAAAGGCAAACTCTTTTTTTTTAGTCCTCTGGCCACCAAAGAAATCAAAATAAATAATTTTAATTTGGGGGAACTTCTGCTTGCTCTCTACTGGTCCTGGGAGCGCAAGCTTTGTCATCAAAGCACGGCTGATCTGGAGAGCGGGGCTGACATCAGTCAGGTCAAAACCCCGAAAGGCTCTCTTAGTGAGATTCAGCCATTGGGGCTTTTTGTTTCCACTTCCTTGATTAAGCCGTCCCCTGGTTGCTGCAAGCATCTGGTTAGTTTCCAGAGCTCCGAAGGAGCCCATTCTGATGGTTTCTGCCACTCGTTGCTTTGATAAAGGAACAGACTTTTGGGTTACCTATTATGCCATTTCCACAAATATTCCACTTAAATGTTGTTTTAGTCACTTACCTTGTCGTTGGGACACAATACTTGACACCCACAAAGGATAAGAGGTTTATTTTGGCTCACAGTTACAGGTAACTGCTGGCTGTCTCCA